GCGGGGAGTCATTCTAGATAGAGGGGCCGGAGGTGACGGTAGGTCACTATGGTTGGCAGAGGACGAGAGTGAGATGTGATTAGAATAATGTAACTATTCCTTAAGACAGGAAACAAAGCGTGAAGATCTCAGTATCCGAAGTGAAAACTACAAAACTATCCTCGCTAGGCAATAAGCCTTGTGGTGGGAGGGCAAGACTGAACACCTGTACGCGGTGTCCTCTACGAACCTGGAAGTGAAATATTCTCCCAGAGCCAAGTTCAGTCAAATTTCGCGACATCAAAGAAGTTGGCCCACGAGGCAAAATTTCAAATTACTCCACCATGTCAATCTTTCACTCCCAAAGAGTCCGATTCTCAACTAAGCCCCATCAAGTTTACAAGTACGACCTAGTACATCCTCATCCTAATGACCATACCTCTCGTCGACTTTCTCTGGCCTCAGTTGACCACCAAAAACACGCCCACGCCGATGTTTATACCCGACGGAGAAAGCAAAGCGTGGAGCACAAATCTGGGAGATAGCTCTTTGGGATGGACGCGAGAGAGATCAGGACAAGTTTACAAGATGATGCAGGGGGGGTTATTACTTCGACGGGCGTGAAATTTCGAAGTTTGGCAAGGAGTTTTTCGAATTGGGCTTTGTGCGCGCCAAGACCTCGCTTGCGAGAGTGCAGCTGACACTATAAAAACAAGCCAACGATGGAAGGTGTAGTGGTCAGCCTCCTGGTGGTGTTCTCCGATATAGTCTGAGTAGCCTGGGCACCTACTCCACTTGGGAAGGAGACATCTAAGATCACATTTCTCACGTAGGAAAGATAATGGATGATGGAGGCAAGTCTAGATGTTTCAGGGTTTTTGAGACGTTCCCCTGGGTGGATATTCACGAATGAGGGTTGGCTTGGGGTGAAGAAAAAGCCGCCATAACCCCGCAGTGGTACTTGCAAAAGAAATCCGAGGGATGAGTGCTCTTCTTGTAAATTGAGTCATCTAGCATACACTTCTCCGATATTGTGTCATAGCTAGATAGCTGCATCCTAAAACTTGGGCAGCAGCAAATTTCTACCAATGCCGCTATTCTGGAAGTACTAAAATGAGCTTCCGGGAGTCACCATTTTCTCTCCACAAAAACCTGACGAGGGCCCAAAGTAGCTTAGCAATCCAAATTCGAAGCGAGCATATCGGGCTCAATTCTTATTTATACAGAAGAAAAGTACCAGGACTTTATCACCCAAGTTGTCCATGTGGCTACCAATCACAAAATCCCAATCCCAATCACATGATCATGTCCTGCCCTAAGTGGTCAAATGGAAGAGGAGAGATCTGGAGACAAGCCCAAGATCGGTCCTTTGAAGCAATGGCCAGCAATCCCAGCGATATGAAAAGAATTACACGATGGATTCTTAGTCATGGTTGGATAGAACAATTCCGCATGACAAATGCAGTCGAAATGCTTCTCAGGGAACGAGACAGGACTGGCACAAGGTTGGGGTCGATTGAAGGGACGTGATTGGTACACATCGACGACGTTTCAGTGTAACTGTACTTCCTGAAGGATAAATTACAAACTTTAAGAATTAAATCAGAAAGGTATGGGGGGTTTTCACCGAAAAGTTTCCGCCTTTGTAAATATATAGATAGGTTTATAGCCACCTGCATGGGCCCACAGGGCGCCAAATCGGGTTAAATGAAATCAAAATCAGAAATGATTTTTAAGCGAGTAGTAACGAAAATGTCATCAGTGCTTCCATAACGCCAAACCTCCGTGCCTAGCCTGTTCCAACGCTATATCTGTATACCAGATCCCCAGTCACTTTACATAACATCTAATATCTCCGCTGTGACCTCATTCACATTTTGCGTCTCATGCATCAATAGAACTTCAAAGCAATTATTCGAGCTGTTGTTCGGTGGGGTTTTTTTAGCCATCTCAGTGAATGCTTTGATAGTGGCCTCTGCTAGTTGATCGGCTGTTTTTTGTCGGACCATCGCGGCAGACACGTTGGCTAGCCTGCCTGATATTCACGAGATATTTCCTCGAGGCCGTTCCGAACTTGATGGGGCGAGCCAGGAGATTTTGGCAGTCCGATCGGTGGGCCCCACACAGTTGCAGCATTCCGTTTGTTCTTTACATTCCGACAAGGAGTGCATTGTTAAGTTGCAGTCTCAGCATACTGGGGTGCGCAAGCAACTTTGGGCCCCGTGGTATAGGAGACATTGCTTGTGTTGGTTTACGATTTGGCGACGAGACTGGAGATTTGTAGCCAAGACAGACTCGTCGAAATGGCTAAAGCCAGCACGAGGTGTGGCCTGCCAAGGAAAAAGATGCTGCCAGTTGCGGGTTGGCGCACTGGGACAGCATGTACTGTGTGGCCGCACTTGTAATAGCTCTTCTAGGCTCACTCTACGTAGGCTAGTTCAACTCCCTGCATTGTGTTAACCTTCACTAGCATATTGGATATGTGGAAGGCCATTTTGTTCGAAGATAGCTTGATTTTGGCGCTGAAATTCGCCGATTCCGAGAAGGCATCTAAGAAGCCTTGTCTTTGTTCGTCGTTTTCTGCCACAATGGCAAGACCTGACTTAACTCGGTGTATGGAGCTACTAGTTACGTAAGTACATTTCGTATATTCCAACAATACTAATAAGATACCCGTGGGGGTTAATTTCCGCCACAGGTGGTTGCTATCACGTCGTAGGAATAGTCTTTTTTTCGATTTTGCCTTGAAAGCCTCCTTATTTTATGCTGTAGCCGCAGGTTGCGGTAGAACCTTCATTATCGAGACTGCTTTTTGTCGCCGCTCATTTCGGGTCATAGTATCCCAAGTACTTTTTGAAGGCAAAACTAGGACTGGGTTTATTTGTACTCCTAAAATCTGGAGCTCTCGAAGGAAGGATTGCCGGACGAGGAGGGAGGACGGATGACGTAGAGGCCATGTATTTCGCGATGGCAGCGAGTAGGTAGACTCTCATGGAGTCTAAGAGTTTTCTTTTTGACCCGTTGGTCAAAGGGAGGAGGATGGCTTCTACGCCAGGGATGGCGGCGGAGCAGAGTGCCAGATTTGCCGCTGTTTCGGCGACGCGTCGTTCTTCTGCCTCGAGAATCGGTCGAAGCTCGAGTAGCTATTCTGCTTGTGTAGCAGCCAAAAGCTGATACAATGATTTTGGTACTGCTTACGATGCAGCATTATCCAACGGTTTTGATGCGGTCGGAGAAGATTTGAAAAGTTATTTTATCCCGTAGGGAATGGAGGGTAGCTGAGGGATCTCCTCAACATTTTCGACTGACCCGATCATGTGAGTAAAGGGCGCAGAGACGCTGGGAAGAGCTTTTTCCTTCCCTTTGCTTGTAGCCTTGCCCATCTCCACGCATCCAAGAGACTGACAAGGCTCATTGTTTGATCGAGAGCCCTCGAGCGAACTCTCGTGATGTCCAACATGGCGTTGGGACACTTTTTCCGAATAGGCGGCATGATAAGAATGCCGAAAGCTCGATCTTCATTTTCAGAATCTATGCGACGAGCGTGGGATGGGGGAGAAGGTGAATGTGAGAATATTTGAAAATATTTAGGAATGGTTGAAATGTTATTGTGTCATTGTCACTTAGCCTTAATTTACGTATACTCAAGGTTAGTTCAATGCAAAAAGAAAGATGTAAAGATGGGGTATATGTTGTGTCTTCTTTCTCTCAGTGAACATTACGAACATTTAGTTCGTGGTATTGGCTGAGTCATCAAGTCATTGACTCAGCAACAGAGAGATGCACCACGCTTAGTGCAATGCAAATTGAACCACTTTCCAACAGTCATAGCTATACGGCGGCATTCACAAATTGAAATACGGTAGGAAATCGAAATTGAACCTATGTGACAAAGCTGGTTGGTGAAAGCTTGGATGTTGCATTTGGTATGCACTGAGCCAAGGCCCCATTTTAGGTCAATGCACAATTTGCGCTTTGTCCTCGGCGCGCGTCCGCTAACGCGTCAGACGCGCAGTGCTTATGGCTTAAGTTCCATAGAAGACCAGTGTATTCAATACCATTACCCTACCTCAAACACTTGTTTGTCTACTGCATAAAATATGTTCAGTCTTCCAACCGTCTCTCCACGGAATCTTTCTGCGCCATATACGCCTTATGATTCTTCTCCACTAGCTAATTCGCCCCAAAGGACTGCGCCTTCGGCTATTAAAAACGCTACGAAAAGAGGGCCGTTGGGATACCACGTCCCCAAAATTTCATTACAATCTTCCTCAACTTCATTCCTGGCTTCATCTTCAAACGAGCAGTTCCGCGAGGTGAAATGCTCCCATATTTCAAATAGAAAGATTAATCGCCCTTCAACGCCATTCAACTCGCGACAAACCAAGCCGAATCCACTATTGTCAACGCGAGCAGGCTCATCAATGAGGGTCGAAGGAAGAGAGGCGCGGAGGAATCTATTCTTCAAAAAAATAAAGGAGGCCACGGATGAAAAGCGATGGCGAGAGCGTAAAGGTGGTTTTTGCGAGGGCGACGAGGAAATCCTGCGGTCACTATGGTTGGCAGAAAAGAGACGTTGGAAACAACAGCGCGAAAAGGAGGCACTTTCATGGGATTGTGGCAAAGAATTCGAGGAAGACGAAGAAGGAAAAGATAACTATAGAAACAGGTCAGATGTTGACATATCCCCACCCGAAGAAAGCGACGAAGATTTGTCAGAAGATCAGCCGACATCAAATGATGCCCATGATAATCATCGAGGAACACCCCTGGCTCCGAGATTTGAAACTGCTGATGATGATATCTACGACGATATATTTATGGATTTGATTAGAGAAGAAGAGAAACCTAGCAGAGACTCGACGTGGGAGTCAAAGTGTGGAGAGGATCCTAATGAAATGGATCTGAGTTAGGAGAGGGCAAGTTTGTAAAATATCAAGAACGTTAGCATCGGTATCTAGCTCTCACTCGTCGGCTAGTAAAAAAGGTAATCGTATCCTGTTATCAAGATCTTTCCTTCATTATTGCATGGGACATCCATCCTGAGCTGCCCCAAATATCTCCTGAGCCTTTGCCATATCACCAACCAGATCAACTGGAGGTGATCCTGCCGCTTGCATCTATGAATGTTGAGAATAAAACAAATTTATATGGAGAATTAAGGATCATACCTTCTGCATGCGTTCTACAATATATTCCTTGTCAGCTTCTGTCTCGTCTGTGTAGGTTTTGGATTCGAATCGTTGCACAATTTCTCTGACATATACTTGTTGCTCCCTGTAACGAATTAAATCTGCGTCCCCAACCTTCTCAGCGTTTTTTTCCATCCATTCGGGGAACTTATCGTCGAGTTCCTTCATAGGCTCGTATAGTATGTCCTTGTTCGTAAGTTGCTCCATCATCCCGAGCAATACTTTCGAAAAGTCTTCCTCGCCATCGGCCTCGCCATCAAGACCTGATGATTGCATAGCCTTCAGGATATCAGCCAAGAAATTATCAGAGCTCTCTGAGGTTGTAGCAGCAGTTGCTTGATCCCTTGAAGCTGCCATGCGTTCCATTGTTTTTTTAATAGTATTCTGAAAACTCTCGTCTGGTCCAGATTGATTCGTCAAGGATACAGGCTTGAGTTTTTGATCTGGAGGCGCATTTGATGTACAAGAAGGATTAGATGCTCCAGCTTTTTCTTCCTGAGTAGTCACTTGAACCATCTCTTTGAGCATCTTTTCGAAATCCGTAATCAGATTAGGCGGCATTTCGGAATTACTCAAAAGCCCAGCTATTTCAGCTTGAAGACGCTTTTCAAACTCATCATCCAGTAAAACCTCTGGCCGACTCTCTGATTGTGCTGGTTGTGAGATACTGGAGCCAAGTACGCTGTTTTCAGTCTTGGACATGCAAAACTCATCCAGCATATCTGTGTAGTTTGTTAGCCATAAATAATCAGGGTTATGAAAGACAGACCGTCCAGGTCATCGAGATCATCAAGGTTATCCACGTCCGGATCTGGATCATCTCCTGACGCTGAGGCTAATTCATTTGACTGAGTCCCTTTTTGAGGTGAAGCCCTCATTTTCGTTGAATCATTATCTCCGTCTGTAGCATCTGTAGCATCTGAGTCTCTGATATTTATTTCCATTGTTACGGTGATAGCCTGTTGAGGAACTTGCTGCTTTTGATAATGATGGGCAGCAGCAACATGTACTAAAAAGTCTATTTATCTATGTGGACTGGGATGAATTGTTCTTGGGAATTAACAAGCTTGTAGTTTTACACCTAGCTGATGGGTCTGTCACCTTCATATCTTGCGAGGAGCAGGTAGGGACGTTGCACTATTCTGAAGATCTGGTGTCTATCATTTTTTCCGACGAAGTTCATCAAGTCAAAACCTGCCCGCGGCGACGCGACATCGCTCCACTCCATAGCCATCAGCGCAATCAGTCTACGCAGTGTACAGGTAAGTTTCATGACTACCAAAAATTCACCCGCTGTCCTCGTTGCTTAAAACTTTTTGTCTGGATCTAAGGTGCAGTATTCCAAGACAAACTTCCTGTACTGATCTATGCTTGAAGACTAAGGTACTTGACAAGCTAATATCCCAATCAGAATCACTTCGATATGGCTTTATGCCAGAACAGACTTCAGGAGGAGAGGAAGCAATGGCGAAAGGATCATCCTTTTGGCTTTTATGCAAAGCCTACACGCAATGCTAACGGTGTACTTGATCTAAAGACATGGGACTGTGGAATACCCGGGAAAGAAAAGACTCTATGGGATGGAGGTCTCTTTAAGTTGAGTGTCGTCTTCCCAGATGGTAAGTCGACCGTTCCAGTCGTAGAAAGATGTCTAAGTGTAATTACCAGAATACCCAACAAAGCCGCCGAAATGTATGAACCTTTATTGTCGTATCTAGAGTAGTGCTAATAATCGCAGGCAAATTCGTTCCGCCACTTTTTCATCCAAATGTTTACCCATCTGGAACGGTTTGCCTGTCGATTCTCAACGAAGAAGAAGGTTGGAAACCAGCTATAACAATAAAGCAAATTCTACTTGGTGTACAAGATTTACTTGATGACCCGAACCCAGACTCTCCTGCACAAGCTGATGCGTACAATCTCTTCAAAAAAGATCGACAGGCCTACGATACCAAAATTCGTAGAATTGTTAAGGAAAACCCTGCACCATAGTCTACTGATCTTATACGAGCATGGCATCGTCGTTAGCCAGACCAATCATGATACCTTACTTAATATGATTACAATTTGAATGAGAAAATTGGAAACCAGCTATCAACGATTAGAGAATACTATCATGAGCATATAATAATAACGCCTATTGAATGATGGAAATTACTAGAAAGACTACATAAGCGTTACTGTGATTCGTGAAATAACTTAAACCCCGCCAGCTGTACCAGAGCAGCTTCTAGTCGCTGTGATCTGAATTACCCATCAGCATTCAATAGAAATAATTCATTTCCGTATCAGAGTCTCGGTCTTCGTAAATACAGCAGAAAGCGATTCCAATTCATTATCTTATCTTAACTTACTATCTGCCCCACTTTAAGGACGTTCGACCAATTTATTAGTAATCAACCCATGTTTGGTATAAAGTAAATATGAAGTTGGTAAGTTCCGGCTCTCGGGAAGGAACTTGATTGGCAAAATGGATTGACTGCAGTGGCTTCTTTCCTTAGAGCTGGGAATCGCAGTCTATCAATGATCCCAGCCTCGTTTTTTAAAATTTTCCCAAAACACCTTAATTGGTCTGGCTAAGGTTCTTATCTCTTAGTCAGATTAGCATGACAATCCCCACAGGAATATATTTTGTAAATTTCCCCGTCCAGTTCTGAGGAAACCTAATTTCCTTATCATTGTTCACTTACATAATCTTCTTAACCTACGTTTATTAAAACCGGCTGTTATTTTCAGATTCACTGATCCAAACTTCTTCATTAATCGGTAAACAATGTGCGGAATCGTTGGCTGTCACCATGTGCCAGACGCAGCGGCGTTCAAACCCACAGCCCTAAAGATGGCAAAGCAGTGTCGTCATCGTGGTCCAGATTGGTCAGGGAGTTACCTGGCCAACAGCACAAGTTAAACACTTTTTATCGATGTAGCAGACAACGTCTAACTCACCTGTAGTTTTGGTTCACGAAAGATTAAGCATTGTTGGCATCGATAGTGGTGCTCAGCCTCTCAAGAATCACAATGGATCTATTGCGCTCGCTGTCAATGGCGAAATCTACAATCATATCCTTCTTCGTAAAACTCTTCCCTCACACTATCATTTCAATACGAGTTCGGACTGTGAGGTTATAATACCCTTAGTAAGTTCCGATATTTAACATTGCCACTTTTGCTTATATATATCTAGTATAATGAGTTTGGGATTGATACACCCCGACATCTCGACGGTATGTTCTCTTTTGTTCTATACGATAAAGAGCAGGATCGTCTAATAGCCGCTCGCGATCCGATTGGAATAACGAGTTTCTATCAAGGAAGATCAAGCACGCTACCTGGTGCCATCTTCTTTGCATCTGAACTTAAGTGTTTAAGTAGCGTTTGCGATGAAATAATCGCATTTCCTCCAGGTCACGTTTATGACTCGAAAACCAACGAAACGACCAGATACTTCAAACCATCATGGTGGGACCCACACAGACAACCAGCAGCTCCAATCGACTATAGACTTCTAAGGACCACTCTAGAGAAGTCTGTTAAGAAGCGGTTAATGGCAGAGGTTCCCTTTGGCGTACTTTTATCAGGCGGGCTAGATTCTAGCTTAATTGCTTCCATCGCCCAGCGAGAGACTCTACGATTAAAAGCTGCCTCACTAGAACAGTCCAGTAAACTATTTGATAGCAAAGGTACAGTAATAAACAATGTAGGGGGAAAGGAAAACAACCTAGTTGGTATCGATGAAGATAATAACCTCTCGACTTTGGTCTATTTACCTCAGCTAAACTCTTTCTCCATTGGTCTTGCCAACTCGCCAGACTCTAAGGCTGCGCTACAAGTTGCAAAATACCTCGGAACGAAGCATCACGATATGACCTTCACTATTGAAGAGGGGATAAACGCTCTAACTGATGTAATCTACCATCTCGAGTCATACGACGTCACGACCATTCGTGCTTCAACTCCTATGTACCTGCTCTCTCGAAAAATCAAAGCTATGGGAGTTAAGATGGTTCTCAGTGGTGAAGGTAGCGATGAGATTTTTGGGGGCTATCTCTACTTCCACGGTGCTCCCGATAAAGCCTCATTTCATGAAGAAACCATTAACCGAATCAAAAACCTGCATTTTTTTGATTGCTTAAGAGCCAACAAGTCTACTTCTGCTTGGGGTTTAGAAGCACGCGTTCCATTTCTAGACAAAGAGGTAAGAAAAGCTTGGTATTTGGTCAGTTTTATCTAACTTGAAAAAGTTTCTGGAAGTGGCTATGAACATCGACCCAGAGGAAAAGATGATAAAAAACGAACGAATTGAAAAGTACATCTTGCGGAAGGCTTTCGACACATCTGATACGCCAGATGAAAAACCATACCTCCCAGAAAGCATACTGTGGCGACAGAAAGAACAGTTTAGTGACGGTGTAGGGTATGGATGGATCGATGCACTTAAAGACAATGCTGAAGCTCTTGTTACGGACGAAATGATGAAGAATCCTAAGCCGGAATGGGGAAGCGATATTCCTAGCACCAAAGAAGCGTGAGAATAGCCCGATGACGGCCCTGCAACCTCACATACACTGACAATTTTTTAGTTACCTATATAGATTAATGTATGACGAACATTTCCCACAATACTGTGCATCAACCGTGACGAGGTGGACGCCAACATGGTCAGGACAGACTGACCCATCCGGAAGGTTTGTTACACGTATACACCCCAACAAGTTCAATTTTGACAAAGACAGGGCAATCAAAATACATAACCAACGCTATGAAACCGTCAAGTAGGTTCTAGCGAGATAGCGACAAAGTACATTGTATGCTTATGATACTATACTTCAAATATTCATCCTACGCACAATCAAGATCTAGATATTTAGCAGGCAGAATGTTAGTTGTAGCTTAGATAATTAAATGACTCAACTTGTAATTGCCGTGTATTTCTCAAAGTGAATTTTAGTGATGTATTTGCCGAATTCTGTGTGAAAGGGGCCCTAGGCTTGAACGGGGCACGGGCCGGCCCATAATCTACTATTTTATCAAACTAACACCACGTCGAATTATCTACACTAACAATCCTTCCAGTACAACCAAGTTAAACAATCAATCATGTCTGTACCAGCATTTTCAGATATCGCAAAATCTTCCAATGATGTACGTTTTGCACTCATCGCACTCTTCTTAGATCGTTAGCTAATGACGCCCAGTTGCTGAATAAAGATTTTTATCATCTTTCAGCTGCAGCCCTTGAAGTTAAAAGCAACACCCCCAATGATGTTGTGTTCAAAGTCAATGGCAAGAGCACACATGAGGGAGCGACCAGTGGATTGGTACGGAAAAGAATCTCAAGCACTATAAACTTACTGACCCAATAACCTTCCTAGCTCGAAGCCAGATACTCTGATAAACCAACTGGTCTGTCGTCTCCGCTCGATTATTGATTTTTCAGTCAATTTGATTTTATATCGAGTATGACATAAATTGCACGTAACTAACATTTCATTTAAAAGGCGTTACTCTTACACAATCCTGGAATACTATCAATGCACTAGACACCAAAATCGAAATAACCGACAGTATAGCGAAGGGACTCAAGGCCGAAATTCTCGGATCATTTTTGCCTGCCACCCAGGCAAAAGGGGCTAAACTAAATCTTCACTTCAAGCAGCCCGGATTTCACGGTCGCGCCTTCTTCGACCTACTTAAAGGCCCAACAGCACTTGTTGATGCTGTTATTGGACAGGATGGCTTTCTAGCCGGTGCATCCGCCGGCTACAACGTTCAGAAGGCGGCAATTACAAACTACTCTGCCGCAATTGGATACGCCGCCCCTCAATACACTGCATCTGTTACTGCCACTAATAACTTGAGAGTTTTCTCCGCCGCCTACTACCACAAGGTTAACTCACAAGTCGAGGCTGGATCAAAGGCCACCTGGGACTCTGAGAGTGGATCCCAGGTTGGTCTTGAAGTAGCTGCTAAGTACAGGCTGGATCCTGTTTCATTTGCAAAGGCAAGACTATCTCCTCTAACCTGGCTATGCTAACTATTCAAAATTTAGTTCAAAATAAATGACCGTGGTGTAGCAGCCGTGGCTTACAACGTTCTTCTACGACCTGGTGTTACGCTGGGTCTAGGCGCCTCATTTGATACTCAAAAGCTTGACCAAGCCACCCACAAAATTGGTACATCATTCACATTTGATTCATAGTTATTGGCTTCGGCGTCTGAAATGACTGGGATATTTAGAGAGGCTTGAGGTTGGCTTATCCAAAGATAAGTTCGGTCGGTTTGTATTAAATAAGTGTAGGAAAGCAGACTAAATTTTGAACTACTGTTAACGATTTTTGTTAATTATTGTGTGTAAATTATTGAATCTGGTCACGAATAGGTAGGCGCAACCAATCTGTACGTAGCGCAGGTAGGCTTGTTTCGACACATCTATTTCAAGAGGTCTGCACAGTAGCCATTAAAGCTATAGGTAAACAAAATCCCACTGACAGGATGCCCACAACCGTTATAAAAGGACCCGCGATTCCCCTTGCATATTCCACTTCGGAATCTTCTACGTCCCTCTTGCTTCTCGTCTGTCTCTTCTGCTGGTTTTCGTGTGTTCTCAAGTGACTCGCTTTATCAAAGTGTGTTACGTCATCAGGTTTAAGTTGATTGTATCCCTGGTTGGATCGCAACTCACCGTAGGTTTCAGAGTGTGCCGGATTCGCTTGCTTTTTCTTATCGCGAGCTGGGCTTACGGAAGCACCTCGCCTCTTCTCTGCGAATTCTCCCCAGCCGCCGTTGCGATGGAAAGAGGGCGGGGGACCGCAGAAACGAGTACGACGCCTTGATAGACCGCTCGGCGACCGACCACCGGCAGGGTTTGTAGATGAGTAGGAGCCACGCTGAACAGGTGAATATTGGCTCTGAGCCTGGGACGCGGGAAGAATAGTTAGATCATAAGAAGCACGTTTGCTGGGCGTTCCAAGAACAGAGTAGGCGGTAGAAAGAGCTATGAACTTCGCTGAGGCCTGAGGATCGGTTGGATTGCGGTCTGGATGATGGGCTTTTGACAAGGCGTAGAATGCTCTGCATTGTGTCAGCGAAAGCGGAAATTTAGTGTCAGTTGCAAACTTGAAAACCTTTAGAAGAATACCTGACAATTGGGGGGGATCCGTGAGACCTACTTTTTCACCTCGCCCTGCGTTGCGGTCGTCGTTATTTGCAAAACCTCGTAATAGTTTCCTTCATATCGACGCGTGCTACGATGAAAGTATCGCTTCAGGCGAAGATGAATCGGTATGGATGGATATGAGCGAAGTGGCATGCCTCATGCTGGCACAGAATTTGCTATTAGTCTGGTTTGATATCTGCAGAGATGGCAAGCACTTGGTGGTGAGCTCGTCATTGGAAATGTGGTGGTTACAAAGACATGTTTTGCGGTCGTCCGAACGTGCCAAACATACAATTTTGAAATCCGCTAGATGAAGTTCTCCCTACCCGAGCCTCGTTTGTCATACCTCATCGACACCAATCAGTCCAAATCACCACGAAGACAAATCCTGGAAAGTTAAAAATGGCCATCCAGGCCACTAATGCCAACAAAGGCTCTGAAGGTTTGAACCTCAAGATTTAGGTGTAAATTATAGTTGATAAATTTGTTAGCAAAAGATCTGGATGCTGCAACTAATCCAGTTGCTGTGACAAGAGAGGGCGGCCCTGCTCATGAGGAAGACGAAGAGGAAGAGGAAATAGCAGGAGCTGAAGGGAACACTGAAAACTCGACGAAAAAAAAACGCAAGAGGAAGAAGAAGCCAAAAGGTGGTGCTTCCAACGCAACCAAGCAATCGGATCCGCCTCGTGTCCTAGTATCGACACTCTTTAAAGGAAAAGAATATCCAGTAGGAGAAGAAGAGGAGTACCGAGATGAGAATCTATTCCGAACCACATCTGAGGAAAAAAGGCACCTTGATCGCATGAACAATGACTTTTTACAAGAGTACCGACAGGGTGCTGAAGTCCATCGACAAGTCAGACAATGGGCTCAAAAAAACATCAAACCAGGACAAAGTTTGACAGAAATAGCCGAAGGTATTGAAAACAGTGTTCGTGCATTGTGTGGCCACCCTGGTCTAGAAGAAGGCGATAATATAAAAGGAGGCATTGCATTTCCTACCGGTCTTAACCTTGATCATATTGCCGCCCACTATAGCCCGAATTCTGGCAACACTACGGTGCTCACTAAAGATAACGTGATGAAGGTTGACTTTGGGGTCCATATGAATGGTAGGATTGTTGACAGTGCATTTACCATGTCATTTGATCCGGTGTATGATAATCTACTCGAGGCCGTTAGACAAGGAACCAATACCGGTATCAAAGCAGCAGGCATAGACGCTCGATTAGGTGAGATTGGTGAGGCTATCCAAGAAACAATGGAGAGTTATGAATGCACCATTGGCGGAAAAACGTACCCAATAAAGTGCATCAGAAACTTGAACGGACATGATATTCGGCGTTGGCAGATACATGGTGGCAAAAGCGTGCCGATTGTTAAGAGTAGTGATCAAACGAGGATGGAGGAAGGTGAGGTATTCGCTATTGAAACATTTGGGAGCACCGGCAATGGATATGTACGAAATGATTACGAGACATCACACTATGCTAAAGTAGTCGACGCTCCCAAGAATACAGTTTTACGAGTTCAATCTGCCAATAAATTGCTGAATGTTATCAACAAAAATTTTGGGACATTACCATTTTGCAGAAGGTACTTAGATCGCTTGGGCCAGGAAAAATACTTGTTAGGGTTGAATAACCTTGTATCGAGTGGTGTTGTTGAGGCCTATCCACCGCTAGTAGATAAAAGAGGCTCTTACACGGCGCAATTCGAGCATGTAAGTTTCGTCACATAGACAAGGCATACAACCAACTAACAAAATTTCAGACTATCTTGTTGAGGCCAACTGTGAAGGAGGTGATTAGTCGGGGTGAAGACTACTAAACTGGAAATAAGTTTGGTGGCCGGACTTTGCTCCATCAGGACTCGCATGCCGGACTTGCGGGGTTTTAAAATTTTCCTATGTTTCAGGGATGCAAAATCTAAGATGATTTTTCGGAGCCATCTATGTGGTTTAAGGAAACTATAAATATGGAGGTTTTAATTACTCAAGCTGCTATGTGATTTTGTAAGACTAGCCATATCCCAAATTCTATACAGTCACAGACACTTATGTACCTTCCTATTAAAAGACTAAGTATATTTAATGGTTTAATCCGTTACCTTCAATATCAACGCTTATATGGAATGTGTTTGCAGAAGAATAGATCTCACAAAATTTTTAAGCTAGAGTAAACCCTCTTTGGGCAAAACATCGGAGGCACATGATAGGTAGAGTCTGAAGCCAGGTGATATATCTGAGTCTCTTCGTTTTAAATTCCAAATCGAGTCAAATAGGTCTTTTGAGACACCTCTCTTAAGGTGGGCCGAGTACAAAGTCGATTCAGAAGTGTTGGTGGCAATGCCATATGAGCAAGCTGGATATCCAAATAGAAGTTTGTATGCGAGGTATTACGTGAATCATGAATCAGTTAACTGGAATTATCCGAATGCGGCCATTCTCAGCCCGCAAGTACTGAGAAGTGCACGGAAATCGAGCTGTCTCATTTAAAAAGCTAATGCCAATAGGTGTGTCGCGGCGGGCTCTATGATAAGTCAGGGCTAATCATAGGCCTGCCGTATTAAAGCTCTATTAGAAGTCGGATTGAAGTTGTCGGGGTTCGCCGCCAATGACAGCAACGACAATCGTTGTTGTGCACACTGTGTGTGTGCATATCGATGGCCTGAGGGCGAGGCTACCGTGCCGTAGGGACATGAGACGTATGAAAAGTATTTAGAATGCATAATCCTCCAAGCTACAGCAGTGTCCAGTTTCTCCTCATGCCTATGCCTAGGCCAACTAGTCACGTTGAGTCGTTTGTTTTTCAACTTCGTGCCAGCTCAAAACACCGGCAAAAGGTCTCGTGTTGGCCAGCGCTTTTTACTAAGCCCGACATGTCATCCTCGGCCATGCACCCCAAACTATCAAACGACATCAAAAGTGCTTTTCCACTGAGACTTTTGATTTTGAGTTACAGCGAGAGAGAGGTGTGTTTATTATACTAGTTGAGTCTTAGACTATCAGGCACTTTCAGCTCCTCCCTGGCCCATGCCACACCTTGTACAGTGCTCCTTGCCTCTCATGTTACTCGAAAGATCATTGATATATTGCCCGTGATGGATAGCCATTCAGCTCAGTATCTACCCGTGGAATACAGCCACCTTTCCCACAGAACCTTCTACCAAAAAAGATAAAATGGTAGCAGTGTAAATTGCGTGCGCGGTAAAAAGTCTCAGAAAACCTAAAGCTCCAGCCGGGCGAGGTACGTATTCTCATCTATATCTCTCATCCTTGTAACATTAGAGGCCAACTTAATCCAATCCGCCATCTCCGTATCGGGTTCTGGGTACGTTCCGGAAACTCATCGGATGGCTTCTCCTCCATGATCAAGGGTGAGTGATGAGTGGGGCTTCAACCCTATCATCTTATCTGATCGTGGTTAGCTTCATGGTCGTAGTGTTGGGGATGTGTTGAGAGATGAAGACGATATAGACGGTGAAAGCGATTGGGAAACCCCGTCGAAGTGAGGACTTTGTTATTCAATCTCAGCTTTGCAGACTCTACAGTGAGAGCTGGAGGCTCGTAGGGGACACTACTGACAGGTGTTGAAAGTAGTCACCCAGAAAGTTACAGAAGATGTATAACTGCCTTGAGGAAATACTATTTATCACCCATACCAATTGCCTAGCACCATAACCTACATGTATTAGTCGCATAGACTACATGTTAGTGTCGAAGTTGAATTCCTTCGAAGAATCTGGTATCATGAAGCTATTTGCCAAAGACGATTGCTCCTACAGCAGAGCCTAGGATCCAGGGAATTCCCGGCGTCGGATGTTTAGTTGTGCCATGGAGACGGGCTCGGCAGCGTGCGAGCCGGCAAAATAAGAAGTGATCAGGAGACTTTTCTTGCCCACAAGAGCAGGTCAGAGGAGCGTCCGAGTGTTCAGAGCGGCGGTGGTAGTCAGCGAAGTCCCCGTTGCCTGAATAAGCTGCAAAAAGATGACCAACAGCGTAACGACTAAAGCTCTTTAGTTCGGGAGAACTGCCAATGCTGGCACCAATTCTCGGCTGGTGTGATGATATGAGACAACGAAGTAGTCAAGGCTGGAGCATTGCGTGTGGCGCAAGGCTACAGCATATACCACCAGTGCATTTGTTAGGCGAGCATATATACAGTTTCATGGATATGCCCATAATAAAGGGATATAGGTTTAGTCCTACACTTTCTGTCCATATACCTACAGCATGGTATTGTATGAGTCTATTCACTGTCACCCACAAAATATAACATCATCCTCTCCTTTTCACTCAACAGTATGACCTCCGCATAGCTTATAACCATAACGGCTGGTGGTTTTTTTTGAGAGTATTTTGAGCCCAGTACGCATTTACAGAGGCTTCGCACCGTGATGTGATATCTCTTTTCGCTCGGAAGACTGGGTGAGATATCGGGGCGCCAAAGCTTTGCATGCCTGTTAAGTCAGCGCGTCGGCTCTCTCATTGTCTGGTTCAGCGAATTGGCTAAAGTCTCTTCCCGTCCACTTCGTTATGAGTTCTCGAAAGTGAGCGATACGAAGGGATCTGCTTGGAGTGGGAGTGCCTAGGAGGCTCAGGGCGGCCTCTTGATGGTCTAGGCATGCTGTGGCGTTTGTGGCAAATCGAGCCATAGGATTGTGAAGAGCAGCATTTAGACCTGCAGTGGCCCAGGCTATCTCTGCATCAATGACTTCGGTAGTTGTTCCAAGAGGAAGAGTACCCTGCCAGACTATCTATGCGAGACCTCGATAGATGACGTATCCAGCCCCAGGAGAGCGTTTGGTTTAGCTGAGTCTAGAGAAGGTTGCCACATGATACTAGAGAAGTTGCAGAAGGGACATTGGAGATGTCATCAGCGTAGCTAAAGCGGCCCTGCGACAGTCGGAGCACTCCTTCGATCGCTAAGAGGAAGAGAATTGGCGACACAGGGGAGCCCTGGGTCAGGCCATTGTGAATCTGAAAGGAGGGAGGTTTGCTGCCATCAATACTTATAGCAGCCCCTCTTTGTTCCATCAATGGAGTTACTCAGAAGACCACATTTGGTCGTCACCCTTAGTTTCGCAGACAAAGTAAAAGACGCCTTTTTGAATGCTATCAAAGGCACCTTGTACGATGTATGTGACAATTCCTGCTACATACTTTTCATCCCTAGCTATTTGTATATCACACACGAGGGCTGTGGTAGGATCTGTAGAGGAGCTGCGAGGGACTGCGCTGCAATGTTCCTTAGCTAAGATACGGTGTTTGAGGGCTATATACGAGAGCCTTCTGGCTAGTAGTCGCTTAAGTCTTTTGCCTGGGCAAGAAAGAGCTATCGGTCTATATGATATCGGGAGGCTGAAATTGCAGTTTCCCGACTTCGGTAATATGATTATATTAGACACCGAGGGACAACTGAAAATTTTAAAGATAAAGTCTATTGATAAAATCTCTGGTCCTCTCAGGCCTTAGTGCTATATACCCATCTAAAACTATTTCCGGAAGAGAGCATCTTCTCTAAGTTTCCCAAAGTTACATCATGAGCTAAACTACATATGTTGTAGATCAAAAGATCTCAATTTGGATCTTTGATTTTCCTGAACATCCTCAGCATCCTGATCAGCATATCCTTGGTGAGATATCAAAACTCGAGAGAGTTAATCCGAGAAGATGTGGTATTCCGATACCCAATGATTCTCATTACTAGATTCAGTAGGTCCCAAACTATCAGATAATTGACAGTTTACATTAAATTCCTTGAAAACAGATAGATGTTTTCCTAGCTAGTCGCATTGACGGAAAAAAGCTATGATCCGAATCCCTGCTGTAGGCCAGGCTTGTTTGAGAGCACATGTCGTGATTCCATCTGGCCCAGGGGCTGAAAAGGTTGTCTAGCGGCATGACTGGTTTATCTACTCTTCTGTGGGTGAGGGCCATAGGAGCCTTTTCTTAGGTACATTGGGCGTATTTATAGGGATATCTTATTGGTAAAGGTAGCGGCTAAGTAGCGTTTCTCGGAATAGTTATGCCCTTGCTACGGGAGTGAAAACGGGGCCTTCATGTACATTCAGGGGAGTGATATGCGAGCGGATTTGCTTTCTATGCCAGCTGGTTATATGATTTGCTGCAGTTAGGTCGACAACGCTGTCAATTCTTTGCCTCCAGTAATCGAGTTTGGCTTTTGCCACAACTTTAACAAATCTTCGAGTTCCTGTGTGATTTTATTCTCGAGACGTCTGGCGCGACATAAGTCTCGATGCGCCTTGGCACACTTCTTTGTCCACTATCTATAGCACCTCATTTTTCTCTGGATGTAGGGCAGACTGCGTGCAAAGCACCTAATATTGCTTCCACAGAGAATATAGCTTCTTCTTCTTCTAGATCTATTAGAGGATAGCAAATAAGTCGGTCTGCGAGAAGTGTACGGAAAGTCTTTCAGTCGCAGGCATCATAACGAAAGCGGCCAGGAGGGGGAGCTTCGGCCCCTTTATCTGAAATTCTTATAAGGGTCCTGTGGTCAAAGCTAGCTTGGCAGGAAAATTTTAGGCTTGTCTTGGCGAAACAGAGTTCAAGTACTCCGCCAGCGTCATGCGTTGCTATCCCATGTGGGTTAAGGAGTACTAGATCTCTCCTCACTATTCATGCAAGTAAGGTTTCTCCTGTAGCCGTATCATTTGTGGTTTTCGAATCGTATGCGGAGCGTTGTATGTTGAAATCACCAGCAATATCTGGGCTTTCAGGTAGCGTAAAAATTAGGTGAAGACCTTCCCCTGCGTTACGAGAGCCAATGGGGGCATTATAAATATTCCAGGAGTCGATTTTGGGTCGGCCTTTTCGATGAATGTAGATTCTGAGTAGGTCCCACGAGTGAATGTTTATCTGTAACGGCGAGAGACCAAAGCCTTTTCGCATGTAGGTCATGACCCTGGGTCGGCTAGTCCAGTCAGCAAATGGAGCGAAAGCATAGAAGCTAGGGTGAGTTTTTTTTCTTTGAGAGATTTCTGAAAAAAATCCATGGTTCTTGTCTAAGAATAAGGTCGGCACCAAGTGGAGAAGCTAGCACAAGAGCAGCGTCGTGGGCTGGGCCATTTATAGAAATATAGCCACGTTGGGTCGAATAGATAGGAACGTATCCATCATGACCTGAAGGTCACAGTCCGAGTATAACCTCGGCTGGTACTCCCGCACCCATTTTCAGCGAGCAGGTGCAGCCATACTGGGAATAAGCCACGTAGCAACGTAACCTGCCGCCTCTGAAAGGCCCAGAAATATACCACTTTGGCCTATGGCTTCCTATTAGCGATGTTGGACCGCTTGGCTATTTGATTAGCTGAGCCATTCCCCCATCTCGCTGAGAGAGTCGTGGGGACGACGAAGCCGACCAGTTCTCGCGTTGATGAATGGGATGATTAAAGGAGCGAGCGCGACTCTTCTTGACCAACCCAGATATGCGAATATACTTTTTGTTTACACTGGCATTTCTTGAAGGTAAAGAGTTTATCAGTCGGTGGATTTTGCAACATGCACTCAAATAGGACGTGGGTAATTGAATAATGGGTCATGTGACTTTTGAGTCATGCCCAAGCTGGACAGTGGACGCATCAGCCGGTACTAATTGAGTGATGGTTTCAAATTATTGAAAGAGGATTAGGGATAGATTCGAGAGACTGAGACACTATTAGATTATAGTAGATCTTTTGACGATCAGGGGATTGGGACTTTAAATACCCTACTCATCTCAACACTGTGAGATATCAATCCAACCTGTATTTCTGAGCAATATATATTGTCGGTTTGTAAAAGTGGTTTAAGTTCGATAATTTAGTACACATGCATATTTCAACTAAATTTGAACTGGGTTGAATAACTCAGATTTGTCTCACATCAAGCTTGAACCTCGGTCTGCTCCCACTCGGCCAGTTTCTTCCCTTTCCCCGAGCGTTTCACGCGACAACTTAAGCCAACATCTTTATCCCAAACAAACTGCCAGATCACACTTACCCAACTTGAGTGTTGAGGCAGATCTACGTAGAACTCTTTTGCCAACTGATGCAGGGCGGGTAGGCGAGTCCATGGCACTGCCGGGAAATCATGGTGCTCATTGTGCAAACCAACATTGTAGGTGAGTAAGTTTAGTGGACCATAGTAGCTAAAGGTTTCGGGTAGCGTAGTTTTGGTCAATGAATCTGGATTGCGCGAAGATGGCGGGTCAAGGAGATAGTGTTCGGCGATAAAGTGACCAGCACATGGGTGCAAGCTACCTGCAAGGAAGGAGCTAATAATAAGATAGTATAGAGAATTGGGTGAACATTTGGTTACAAGGAGGTAATCGAAAACAACTTGTGCTACAATGTTGGCGATGTGGCAGTATGTAAAGGGTACTCGATAAACGAAAATTGGCCTTATGGCATAAAAAAATATTTGGAAAGTTGCGAAAAAGGATTTGCCCAAGAGCGAATCTAGAAAGAATGCCTCGAAAGAGGTTGGCAGGTCAGTGTCAAGGCCATCAATACCAAGAGACTTGTGGTGTGTTAAGTGGTATGGCTGTGGAGACATGAGCTTGGTGCAGCTGACTTGAGCCGAGATGGTAGAGAACGCACCCTGAAAGAAGCACTATACGGAATTCCTATGGGTAAATTCGCAAAGATAGCTAGCGCACGATTTGCCGTGGCATTGCGGAAGGCAAGATTATGAGAGATTTCATGGATGGCCAAGAACAAATTCTGATTAGCTGTGGCTCCAACAATGTAGGCTGTGAGCAGAAATTTCCAGGATAAAATAGGTGTTGATTGAAGTGCGAAGGCGCAGAAAAGCTGGATCAAGACGACGAGAAGGACGGTATATTTTGTGAGGGGTTCAGGTCCACAGAGTTTAGTAACCTTTTGATATTAGCTTAGCTGCTGTAATGTTGGACAAGGATGTTTCGGAATTGTCTTTACTTCTGGGTGAGCTTTAATAATCGCCTGTCGTCTGGTTCTGTGAGGCTCTTCGGTATAGGTCCAAAAGAAGTCGTGCTCTTTGACATTTCCAGATGTACTGGGTTTGTTTTGGGTGGTGCCGGGCTTTGAGGCAGTTCGAGCCCTGCTGCTAGTGGAGAGATTGGATGGCGGCGAGATGGTAGTTGAGGAGGATATCGAAGTTGTCATGTTGAGGTAGAAGGCAGATTGCTACTCATGAATTTGACGATTGAAGTTCCTGACCCGAAATTGTGGACAGGCAGGAACGGGCAAGCTCTAGATGTCGAGCATGGTGCGCTAGATATGCACGAAGCTTGCATCTCCCGGGGGGACAGGCTAACAACATGAGCTAGGGCACACAGCGTGATTTCACACCCAACAGCTGCTAGCGGAATGTAGGCTCAGCTCTATTTCCAGTCTGTACTTTGGTTCTGGCGACTCATTCCGAATGCTCCCAAGTTTGCAGAAACGCTTCAAGATCGTACTCTTTCAGTATTAACGAGAATCCATCTTGAGGGTAAAAAACTGTCCTCGAGAGCACAACTGTTAGTCCTTGAAAGTAACAACACGATCTTTCAAAAAGCCGCAACCATTGGTTAAAGAGAGAGGAATAATCGATCAAGCATCAGCAGCCAAATTTATCGAAATTACGGAGCAAACTGACCTCAGAAAGCATTAACGGCATTTTTGTCATTTAATTTATATCTAGCTACGCAGGGAAGACACATCATCAATGCCAAGTGTGTGTAACTTGGATGATTCTTTTGACTCTAGAGTTGAGCAGCAAAGATTGAGCAACTCTCCTCGGCGCTCTCTACGAACCTGGAAGTGCTATATTCTCTCGGAGCCAAGATTCAATCATCCACCAACAGTCTAATCGATTTTATCCTGTGATATTCTTATCAGGAGTTTCTTGCACTAATTGAGTCTGTAACTCTAGCACATTGAGCTCTTCTACGATCCAGGCTTCATGAAAATAAGGTGTCTGATATAGTAGCTCAGTGTTCACCTGTAGAATTCAAGTTCGTTTTCTACGAAAACTTCTACCTAGAAGTAGCAAAGGATTAGATTAGATTAGATTTGTATTTTAGTCCTAACTGAGTCAATGACTATTGAGGACTCCTAGAATCTACAAATAAGATACTAGCGACAAGTTGTAAGTTCCTACTTATTAACTTTATGCTGTGCTCTTATGGACAGTGAGGGACACGCCCTGAAGTAGCAAAGGAAACCACGTGCAAGTGAAAATTCACAACATACTCATTCTACCAGTTATAGTGTGGTCATGTCTGTTCGTGCAGCAGTCTACAATAACATCCTTATAAAGCAAAATTGCATATTGTTTATACGGACATGTACAAATCATTCTGTGCTATTTCTACATCATGACAACAGTGCTAGGGGTTTGTACTGTGCAATGAAGACGATACAGGCCGCGAAAGTGATTGGAAATCCACACTGAAATGAGGACAGAGGTGTTACTCAAGCTTGGCTCTACAGTGAGAGCTGGAGGGTCGTAGGGAACACCACTGATAGGTGTTGAGTTTTCAGGCCCCACCAGTTGTCGGTGCTTCTCAGGTCTCGATCCTATGCCAAGTATCGCCACAGTATATGTATATTAGAAAATGAATGAGCAACTTCCAGGCACTGCCATTGAAAGGGAGACATGGATGGAGGATGTCAGTATGCCATGAGACTACCAGCGTTCTAAGAAGACTGGCTCTGGTTCGTCGTCGTGTCGAGCGTTCTTTGAGGAAGGATTTGATCCCTAGAGTGTAGAGTTTTGGAAAAATCTAAATAGTTCCTTTTCATTGGATGTCTGTTATTTGTAGAGCTGCGGCAATACTTCCTCTTCTGACATGGCAGTGGCTGCCACGCACTATGACACTTGTCCAAGGCCTTTTTGGTGGTATTAAATTAATAGGATTAAAGTCCTAATTGATTCGATGACCCTGCGGGACTTGGCGTGATAGGAGAACAGCACAAAGCTCACCTCCCGTCCACTATGCCGAATTTACAGCCAGCTATCGCCGGCAAATGACTACTGGCAGCTCGAAACCATAATGAAGGGTTATTAGCTAGAGTCACTTGGGATTAGAGCATCATATAATCTAAAAATGACAAACAAGCGAATAACATGCTGCGGGTTCTGGTCGGTCAGATGATTGTTTAAATGATTCCGAGTGGGCGTCTCTCCTTTTGAATCATTCAAGTGTATCTAGCTGTATAATTACGAGACATGATCCTTCCCAACAGTGCATATTGGAAGGCTCTTTTCACTCCAGCGACGCCCATGTAAACGCTACATATGTGAGGTATCCAAGAAGACGCGCATCATCCTCTACCAGTCTCGCAGGCTGTATCGTAATCGTCACTCTTCACAAACCCCTTACGCCATTATTAAGAACTAGCCATGAGAGATTCGATGATAACGTCCAAGCCCTACTCGTTACCCAACCTTGATCACAGAGAAGCCATGCGATGAGCTTCCAAGACGTATCCAGCTCCTGACACTGCGGTGGTAGACTGAATCGTTTCGGCCCCTTTTGATACAAAGGGAGACTCAGATGGATGTCTACATCTCACGTAGCTGATATTACAGCTTAACGGAGAGTTTTCGCGTGAGCACGATTTCATTTGTTGTCTTTTGGGCGGAAGATGAAGTTGATTTATACAGGTAAACACTGAGCTAAAGAGCCTTCCACTACTTTGTCAGAGATCTGACTTTCATGGAAAAAAGCCAGGGGCGCCGTACGTGGTGTAGCCTGGGTCGGAGAAGAGCTCAGTATGCTTGGGTCATAGACTCAATTAGAACAATATAACCAGGCCAAAAAAACACTGCGAGGTTGGTTGATTGATTTAAATTTAAGTCTATACTGATTCCTAGACCATGAAAGGCTACTCAAGGATCTATCTAACTATTTTATTAATTGATGGCTTAATTTCTAATATGGATATTACAATTGTATGATAGTTGATTCTGAGGGTCAAGCCCTGGTTACAGCTATGAGGCGTCTTCACTTTCAATGAACAGTCAATCCTCCTTGAGTATCGACTAGATGGAAGTTTCACAGCCTTTGGTTATCCAGATTGCCTTCACATTCCATGCACATATATGGCAAGAAATGTAATACAGTCTTACTGGATTCAAACCAGCCATCTCCAGACTCCACTTGAGCCATCAGCTAGATAGCTTGCCATTGCAGCATTCAAGCTCAGCGGTGTTGTAAGTGTCGCCTGCACTCTCGCAGTCCAAGTCGCACAATGCTCAATTTGAGAGAGAGAGAGAGGTGTATTTTTTGTACTACTTGGGTCTCTGGCTTTCTCGCACATTGGGCTCCTCTCTGGCCCAGACCACACTTTGTACAGTGCTCCTATCCCCTTTTGCTGCTTCAAAGATCGTTGATATATTGCTCGTGATGGATAATATTTCACCTCAGTGTTTACCCGTGGAGTTCGGCCATTTTTTCCGCGCGACCTTCTACCCAAAAAGATAAAAAGGTAGCAATGTAAATTGCGTGCGCGGTAAAAAGTCTCAGAAAACCTAAAGCTCCAGCCGGACGAGGTACGCATACTCATCTAAATCCCCCTTCTTTGTTGCATTAGATTGCAACTTGATCTAATCCGTCATCTCCGTATCGGGTGCTGGACATGCTCCGGAAACTCATCGGATGGCTTCTCCTCCTTGATCAAGGGTCGGTGGCAAGAAGGGCCTCGATCCTAGCATCCGATCTGATCGTGGTTAGCTTCAAGATAATGGTGATAGGGGGATGTGTTGAGAGATGAAGACGATATAGACGACAAAAGCGATTTGGGACCCCCATGAAAATGAGGACTTTTATACTAAATCTTGGCTCTACAGACTCTACAGTGAGAGCTGGATGTTCGTAGGGGATACCACTGACAGGTGTTGAGAATAGGCCCCCTCAGGAATAAAAAAGCTTTTGAGTTATGAGTGATTCCGCGTGTGTTGGGGTTCAAGGTGTGGAGCTATCACAACAGGTGGCCGACAGATTTGCAGTTTATTTACTATCACGTTTACTGGCGGCGGGCAGTCCATTGTAATTCACTGACAATCTCTTGTCCCTTGCATTGAGCAACCTCCAACTCTTTCGCCACCGTTCCGTACAAATAGTAACCGTTTCATCGCTGATTTACGTTGCATGAAATGAAAAATCAAATCCGTCTATTTGAATCTTTTTCTTTTTTCAACTTTGACCACCCGTCAAACGTGGGATCCGCGCACCACATCGTGACGAATACCTCATGATTCTATTTTCATCATCTAGCCTCGGTAGGTCGAGACTAGTAATACGCTTCTCGAAAGTACATGGGTGACCAAGCAGCTCGGAACTAATTGAGACTTACTTGTAAATCATTCCACACCACCATTCAGTCTAGTCGACTGGAAAGTCTCGTTGTTGTCCCAACAACTGTGTCAATAGATGGGTCTATCCAACCAATCTCCAGTTGTACACATACTGACGCGCTGATCTTACCCACATTAAAGTTTTCGCGTTTCACAAATCGCGCTGACACGTTTAACAACGGATAGGTCATGTCTCCAAGAATCATAAGCACTAATTACGGGGAAAATTTTATCCCAATTTAGCAAGAAATTTAGCTCAAATAAAATTTATTAAGCACGATACTAATATAACTAGCAAAATCTCTTACGTCTCACATAAGTCTCGAACAAATGTAAGACTAAGGCGACGTTCTCAAGGAAGAGAGAGAGGGTTGTATTACCCAGAGAATTGAGGTTGAGGCTTGCTCCTATCATCTACAAGTTTGTTGTTAGCTTTCAATGCGGTTGAACCAGCCATTTATCCGTCATTAGCACGGCTGGTGATTGTAAACCATCATCCCTGGTTTTGTTTGTGTAATCTATTGTTATATGGCCTACTCAACGCAATCAAAACAGGATGTAGGCAAGAAGAAAGCTCGTCAAGCATAATGCTGCCACTATATGTAATGGCACGCCTTGATGAACTTGTGGTACTTGGTGTACGGTTTCCAACCCTGAGTGATCAACTGTCTTTTCCTTTGACGAGTTGCGCAGCCGCGTGTTCAAATCTTGAGCATAACCGGTAGTGAGACCTTCTGATTTTGATGGTTTTGCTCTCGTATCTTCTGAATTCGGTAATGGCGTTGTGAAAGGTTTCATTTCGGATGGACTTTGACCTGCAGAAAATTGATGATTGCCATTCCGGGTCTCGGGCGTATGAGCAGCTTCAGGTGAAGGTGAGCGCTTTTCTGTATATGCGCTGGAGTCCTAATTTCCAAGTTAGTTTTGAAGGAATAAGTTTTGATCTTCACACACAGGACTTGAGCTGTTCGCAGCGATCTTTGATGGAGTGACTGCAGACTTTGTTTTTGAGGTAGAATCTGCTCGAGGTAAATAAACTACTCTGATTTTTTTTTCTTCTATAGCGGTTTTTGAAGCTTGGTTTGAAGGCCACTGCAGGAGTTAGGAGTTGGATTATAACTAGGATGACATTGAATACGTACTTCAAAAGAATCTTCACCTTGTGCTGCGATAGCAATAGATTGAACGAGAAACTTATCTCGACATTTTACATCCAGAGGCGGATCTTCAGACATAGCTTGTAGAGTAACTGAAGGAAAATAAATTAGACTGTATTTTTTTCTAACGATATGCAAAGACTATTGGGATACCTATCACTTCGACATTCTTTCCCGGCTCGATCTTCCCGGAATTCGGACGTACACAGTATCTGGGATCTTGTGAGAAAAGGCGTCAAATGTCTACACTCTAGCATACGTACTGCTTAGGCGCCGTGGTCTTGACCTAATAATCGTGTCAAAAAACCCAGATAATTATCTTTGCGTAGAAATAGACACACCTTAAATGCAACAGAGGTTTGATTGGGATTTATGATCTTGAGGACTTGCGCTACCTCGGTTGTGAGTGGCCCTACTTCGCATTCAGCCCCTATCCATCAGCAGGACTAACATAACTACGGCGAAACCCCAGCTCATGAGGTTCAATCTCGATAGACATAGATACAGGTTTTGTATTTTGATCTATGAGAAAATGTGTCTCGACTTCGTAATAATACTGTTCTGGTTGCTGCGAATACTGAAGTTCGGGGACAGCGTTAGGGGGAGATGGTGTTTGTTTCGAGGATCAATAATTTTTTCGTGTATATTTGCATGAATTTGAAACAGAGTAACGTTAATCAAATCGATTGTTCGTGGTTGATGGACAATGGTTGATAATGCTCGATGTAGTGCTCGTCCTGATAACTGAGAGGTTTATAATGCTTGCCTTCCATCTCTGTGCCATCGTGACAAGTTACGTAGGCCAGATTTGGGATTAGCTTCTTACATGGTCTGTTGTTAGAGGTACCCCGGCCCCTGTAGCAATCATTGGTAACGAGGAACGTTAAACATCACCAAATCTCTTACTATTGGTACCACGAAGTGTGAAGACTGGACATGTGTCAGCGGTGTCATCTATGAGCCTGCGGGTCAAATATTCATTCACAGCCGAGAATCACTAGTACATGGCTCTTTTTACAATAATCAAACACGCGATAATCAATCAAAGGCCTTCAGTCATTCAAACTGTGCTTTCGAGGAGACCCAGACACTAAAGAAATTAAACTTTATACACGAGTTCATGTGAGCACTCTCATTCTCCAACCGTGAGGCTATGATCAAATTAATCACTGGCAATGGATGATTCTATGATGTACGCCTAAGACGCAGTGTATATCCACCTGGCTTGGGTAGCTGTGCATAAATCTGGCAAGAGAGGAGGATGAAAAATACAATCTGTAAATGCAGAACAATACGGTAGAGGAACGGACAGAGCCCAGATTTTATAATAAATCATGCAAGTCTGAGGAGCTGTGCGCACACTGGCGTATCGCGCAGGAGTATAGCTAATAATTTAAAGACCGAATTAATGGCATGTTAATTTGATTTAGCTTCTAGATGATTGTATGGACGGTTGGTTGAAACTTTTGGACGCGCTGGGTAAAGTCGGCGAGGTAGTATTCCGGCCAAAAGTTTGTTACAGCTTCGGTACAAGATAAAGATGTATCAAAGGAATTCATAGTTATCTGGACTATTCCGTTTGTTGCGTAATGATGGATGAAGGGGTGAAGTTCTTTACCAAGGAACCATGATGTGGCAACGGCGACTGAGCCCTGCAGCAAAGTTGAACTTAGACGGCATCATTTCCGGTGTTGAAAAAAAGAGTCGAAGAATCAGACTTGATATTAGAACGAAATGTAAAATTGTCTGTTACATGTAAGTCTCGACGTCCGACAGATTCACCGTGCACTTTCTTCATTCTTTGTATCAAAGCATTAGCGGCTAGTCTGTTTGAGGCGCTTTTTATTCTAATGATTCATTAATTTCTCGCCTTTATCTGGGGATAGAGAACCCATAAAGATGATCCATTTTAGACGTGCTGAATACATCATGCAATTAAAAGTTACGCCTGAAGGCTGGCACAATAAGGAAGTCGTTTGTTAGAAGCAGTCGATCACATGAATCGCAACCTTTTCAGAAAGATCGAATGGCCTACTGGTCCATCGTTCAGGAGTGCCCCAAACTATTACAAGGAACTGAGACACCCATCCCATTGAAGACGGCAAACCATTGCTTGAGATCCGTTAAATTAATACCATTATTATGATACATATACACGCAAACGGATGATTACATAGGCTACTGATGTTTTGAATCTTATTTTTACTAGATATCAGTAGTCGAAGAAGGGGCTGTAATAAAACTCTAATTCTGATCCTTGGCGGATGAAGAATATACTAGCGTGCCAGTCACCAAATGTAATAGTCTTATCTATGAATGTATACTTGGATCCGCTATTTTCATAAATTAGCTGAGATGTTGGAAGCGCACACATTGCACGAACAATGAGTCACAAATGGCTATATATGGATCAAGCTTATGAAATATCTGTGCTCATGACGATTTCGCTTAGAATTGACCCCACTATATTCTTAGGCGATGATGGCATTAGTTCATGTAGTACAAGGTCACTGTAGCTTCTAGAATTCACGGCGAACTCAACACAAACGGCAACAGGTATTTTTGCTTCACGATCTCCCACAAACCCAGTCGTTCGGAAGAAGATAGGCGATAAAATAGAAAAATGTCAGGATCTCGTAAGATACAATTGACTCTATTTATTCTCAGTTTCCGGACTTAACTCCCAATCACAGCCTCAGACGTGTCCGGCGAGAACCAGGACAACGTAGCCAGTGATACGACGGAAGATACGAAAGCTAGATGGATCATAGCTTGCGATGACTGTGAAAAGAAGTTCAAGAGCAAGAAAGAAGTTGAGAATCATTGCCGGCTCTCGTGAGAACCTCATCATGACCACACCATACGGCCCGAGTCCCACTGACAAGCTAATAAAGCGGTCATCTAGCCTTTTCCGAGATACCCAATGAACAAACCGACGAGAAGAATCCTCTCACGGAAGAGGAAAAGGCAGCAAGGCTAGAATTGACGCAGGAGAAGGTTCCACTAACGGAGGAAGAAAAGGCGGCAAAATTGGAAGAACTGCGCATTAAGAGTCGGGAGAGAAAGGCAAAGCAAGCCATCATTGATCTTGAGGAGCAAAGAAAGAACGAGGTTGTTCCTCTCAGTCCCTACTAAACTGCCTTTAGTATACTCATACTAACCCGTGCCTCAAGAAAATTCGTCGGAAATCAACCAAAGAAGTGCAAGATGCTAAAGAGGACCTTGCTCGACAGGAGCAAATGAAAATTGCGGCTAAAAAGCGCCAGGAAAAACTCGATGACATAGCAGCAAAGAAACGTGTCCAAGAAAAGATTGCTGCTGATAAAGAGGCCCGCCGACTCAGGATTGAGGCTTCTCAGGTACAACGAGAGTGTCAGCCGACGCCCGCCAAATCCCCTACCATACCTGCTACCGCAAATAAATTACCAACTTCTGTTTCTACGGTCAAAGATGCCCGTCTTCGGCTTGTTACCGCGGTTGGAACGTTGACGAAGACTTTTTCAGTCGAAACTACTCTCTTTGAGGTAGGGCAGCAGATCGAGCTTGAGGTTGGTGGACCGATCACAAGCTTTACCACAACATATCCCAAGAAGACTCTGTCCGGAAATATTGATTTCGGAATGACACTCAAGGAAGCTGGTCTTCTACCTTCAGCAGTATTGATCGTAGCATAACTTTAGCCTTAATTATCCATCCAAAGACTAATCTGGTAGGACCGAAATACCTAAATAATATAGAATGAAATTCCTAATCCATTCATTTAGATCGACAAACCTTTGGTAAAACAATATTATATTTGATCACTTCTTTACACGGAACAATTGTCTCGTCTTGTCAATGTTTTATTTGCTACTGCACATGCTCAAATCTCTATCATACTTCAAGACTGGATTTCACTCAAAATGCCATTCCCATTTCCAAGTCACGGGACAAGAATATATATATATACCTGCATTTAGGTGTGCGATTGACACTTTTGTATTCGAGTAAACATCTATGTTTATCGATATACCAAGCCTGGTAATAGCTCCCAGTCGTATCGCTTGAATGTAAAATAGATGTAATGTTTCGACCTGCAGGCCAAGTTTTGATCGTCCGTAGAAGGTTTCAAGCCTTAGAACTGTATCTAAAGCTATACAATCCTCATACCTTCCTTCATATTTGACTTTTTAGTTATTGTGGCTGCCTAATTAGTTGTTGTTATCATTATTGGATGATTTAGCAGATAATTCCCGGTGAGTTCGTGAATTGAGTGGTTTAATTACTTTCACCCATCCTACTTTGTGAATAGTGCTATTTGTTACAGCTGATCGAATGGCAACCATACTTTGAGTCCAGTGTTGTGACTTTTTGACCGTAAAAAAAGTAGCACGTGCAAGCTAGAGCTCGGTTTTGATCAGAATTAAGTTTCAGACTGAGAAAGCTAGTTGTGGTCGCATAAAAATTATAACTTTTTTCAGAACCGACAGACGAAATTATTCCTATCTTATCCCTTCTGTTTGGTTTAGATCTCCTTTACAGCTCAGAACTGAATTCAAGTAGAATGAGGTCACTTGGCTTGGACTTTTGGCTTTTTTGGGTCGTTACCATCATGCATGACGCCGTTTGTGCTCAGAATATCAAGCGGAATCCGGCCGTTTCCATTACTGCTTCTTGTGCTATTACCTTCAGTTGGCCGCTTCATGGGCATTCTAAATCCAGTGCTTCTTCCGTTTGTCATTCCCATTGGACTTGGACTCATCGGTGCCCCAATTTTTCGTGCATAATCTAAACTCGGATTGAGGATGTTGCCACTAGTGTTCACAGTTCCATTGCCACCCACACCTGAAACTGCTATCGGTCCTAATGCTTGACTGCTCGAAGGAACATGCCTTAAGTCTCGTGTAAGAGGCTTACTACTCCTGTGATCTACACCAGGCGTTTTCCGAATACTAGGACTTTCAGCGTGAGGGTTGAAGGCAGGTGCATTTGGTGGTATGGGGTCAGGAGGGCCCTGAGATGTAGAGTTTTGGGCTTGTGCAGGGGCTAAAATCAGAGTAGCAGCACGAGCAGAGTAGAACCCACTGGCTGCTATAGATGGATCTATGGGATCATGTGTATGCGTAGAATTTGATGATTTTTCTGACTGTGCTGAAGCGATTGAGGCAGGGTTTTTGCTTGTATCATTCGTACGGTTAGGTTGGATGAGAGATCTTCCAGCTAAGATAGAGATTGCAGGCGAGGGATGCGGTTGTTTGTTGGTAGGTTTTTGCTGCAAATTTGTTGCAACAGGTGTTTGAGGAGCATGTCTCATAGCACTTTTTTGAACTCGTGATCCGTTAGATTTGGCTGGAGCAGGTGCTTGTTTTGTTGGGGGGAGTGTCGTTCCCCCATCATTTTTGGGGATATTATTTGTATCAGCGTCAGAACTATTATTATTAGTTACTGCAGGTGGGGTCGAATCACTGAGCATAACTTCGTCTGGATGAGAATTTGGGTCTGCGACGCTGAAATCCGCTTCGTCAAAGTCACCAAACTCATCTTCAAAATAGTCCTCGGCAGCTTTTCTTTGTTAGTAAAGAACAAGGACTTCGGATATGTGACCCACGATTACTTGTTGAAGCTAGATCTGATTCCAAAAATTCCTTCTTCTCCACACCGTTGGCCCACGAAATTTTAGGTTCCTTCTTTTCTGTCGATTTATCTGATATGCCTGCCGGGTGAGATGTGAACGTATTGTGTCGAAAAAGATCGTTTTCGCTCCATTTTGGGACAAACGGCTTGACTTTGGAAACCTGCTTTAAGTATTCCTTATCGTAAATACAATTTCCCAGCACATTTCCAAAGTTTCTTAATGCTCGTTTCAGAGCGTCAGTTGTGCCTTCTTTCTTTGCTTTTTCAAATGCCGCAGCTTTGCCTTTGCAGTTCTCGATGTGTCCGTAGCCTACGTCTTCATGAAACGTACCGTCCTTCAACGTCACCCTCACCACAACTGATAAACCCAAGGATACTTTTAAAGTTTGAGGGTTCTCATCGACAAAGTCGACTTGGCAATCCATGATCTGCGAAGACCAGCCGTTGAATCCAAACACTTCGTTGGCTAGCTGAATACATTTTTCAGCCGCCACATAATGTACCTTTTGCCCACCAGGACCAGATCGTGACGATAAGTATTCTGGGCCAAGTTTTTTTTCGAGCCTTGCCTGTAGTGTTGCTATTTCTTGAGCTGTGTAGACGGGTATTTGCCGCCTGGTAGGACTAGCCAAGCCAATTCTACTACTAGATCCAAGATGCTGATCACCGGGTCTAATGAAAGATTAGTCAATTAGGTTGTGTAGGCGTCTGGAGAGAATACTCAGGCATCTTAATCTTAGTAACCAAACGATATTTGGTGTTATAATTTGGAAATAAGGGTTGGGCCAGCGGCGAGAGACTTGTGCTCGCGTAGTTCTGACCTCATCGAATGATGTAGTCATGTGATATTCGATAAGGATATATAGATGACAAGGTCACATGTTTATTACAGATACATGAACGTGCCAAATTTCAATGGTATACAGATCCGAAGATACTAATATAATATATTGGCGCGTAGCTCAAGAGAACTTATCATGCTTATTCTGCTGAAACGCGAAAAGAGTGGCCTTAAGACCACTTGGTACCCCTGGAAGAACTACTCCAACCAATTTGAGCACTGTAGTAGGCGCCAAATTTCTGATGGAATGGTCGAATAAGACGCGTTTCCTGAGTATGTTTGCCTCAATTTCAAGCTAGTCAAATGAAGTTGGATTTTTCTTCCATCTCTAGCCACATACAAATACGCTAAGAATGGATCAATTAAATTGATTAGCCATTAATAAAAGTCCCGCCGATCAGATAGCTCAAATTTCTACTTGTGGCTTCATTGATGTGAACTAATTTGAGCCCTTCTGCCCTCGGATAGTAATCGTTATAAGGCTATGAGGAGTGCGTGATGGGTTCGCCCCGTACCACGAACGCTTAGAACACGAGAGCCCGCCGGAAAGGTTTGATGGTGTAAACTCCCGACCTGTAGCCTCTCAGGAACTCCCAGAGCGTTGCCAAACAACTCCCAAAGTCTCTGACACATTTTATGGGGCTGCCGAGATTTTGAAATCGATTTCATCATCCTGATTTGGCGCCCTTTGGGCCCATGCAGGTGTCTACAATCTATAATATTTATCCGGGAGGAAACCTTTATGGCGAAAACCTCACAGACCTTTCTGCTTGTTGTTTTTAGTTTTCATATATTTTCTTCGGGAGGCGCAGTTACACTGTATTACCATCCATGTAAGTCAGCCAGATCATCTCTAAACGCCCCAAGCGTTACTTGACCTGTTCCTTTTCCTCAACAGCATTTCGACCGCCTTTGTCATCTGGAATTGCTCTACCCAACCATGGTCGAGGATCTACTGTGTTATCCTTTTGATGTCTCGAGGATTTTTATCAGTGCTTCGTAGGATCGATCGTTGGCTTGTCCATAGATCTCACCTCTTCCTTTTGACCATCGAGGGTAGGACGTAATCATGTGCTTGGAGTTCTGCGATTGGTAGCTACATGGACAGCTTGGACTGTAGACTCCAGGTACTTTCTTCCATATAAAAACTAATTGAGCCTCATACGCTCACTTCCTATTTGCATCCCTAGACTGATTTGGGCCCTAGTCAGGGGCTCCCGAGATTGTAAAATGGCTGGGAGGAGCTACAATTCTCATGTGTATTTGCACCTGCTTTCCTCCCGCCGCTACAAGAATGATTAGTTTGGCTATACTGCGGTACTACAGTCTGAAACTGTCCACCACATTGGGCTGCCAAATAAAAATAAATAAGATATTGGGCTCCTCTTTGAACCAGGCCGCACCTTGTACAGTGCTCCTATCCCCTTTTGCTGCTTCAAAGATCGTTGATATATTGCTCGTGATGGATAATATTTCACCTCAGTGTTTACCCGTGGAATTTGGTCAATTTTTTTCACGCGACCTTCTACCCAAAAAGATAAAAAGGTAGCAATGTAAATTGCGTGCGCGGTAAAAAGTCTCAGAAAACCTAAAGCTCCAGCCGGACGAGGTACGCATACTCATCTAAATCCCCCTTCTTTGTTGCATTAGATTGCAACTTGATCTAATCCGTCATCTCCGTATCGGGTGCTGGACATGCTCCGGAAACTCATCGGATGGCTTCTCCTCCTTGATCAAGGGTCGGTGGCAAGAAGGGCCTCGATCCTAGCATCCGATCTGATCGTGGTTAGCTTCAAGATAATGGTGATAGGGGGATGTGTTGAGTGATGAAGACGATACAGACGGCGAAAGCGATTGGGAATCCTTATCAAAGTGAGGACTTTGCTACTCAATCTCGGTTCTCCAGACTCTACAGTGAGAGCTGGAGGCTCGTAAGAGACACCACGGACAGGTGCTAAGCATAGTCCCCCCAGAAAAATCCTACATCAGTGGGCAAAGATTTAACACCTGTCCTCAGCCCCTACGAGCCTCGGAGTGCAATATTCCGTCACAGCCAAGACTCAGTCATTCCCCAATGGCCAAATTGGATTTCCCCTGAGCGAGATGGTTGTCAGAAGGAGCGGTGCTGGACTGCCTTTAGTCGGAACTCCCGAATTGCAGAGACTTTTAGGCCGCGAAACTCACGAAAAAGATCAAGACAGCATTAGGCTAAGCTGAATATTGCAGTCTTCCTTGATTAGTCCAGCAATCTTTCGGCTCCCTAGACGATGCGGGACCATCCCTTCCAGCACGACGGGAATTACTGGAGGATGCCGATTTCGGCTTGCGGAGAACCAATGTCTCATGACAGAACCAGAGCCGGCGAGTGATTATTGTAGAGATACTGAGCAGTGGATGCTTTGGAAGTGGTAGAGATGGAGGACTAAAGATGGGGATGGTATCACGAGGACGGCTGGTAGAGGCAGTCAATGCTTCAAAATTATTACAGCTCCCTAAGTCGCTGGGCTCTTTTGTGGTGGCGCGTCGGATAGTCTTTGCAGACTCGGCTAACCGGCACTTGGCCCTCTCATTCTAGATTTGTGCACCGGCACGACGTAAAGTAATGCTTGGATAACCAAAGGTTTTGAAAGTCCCTTTGGTGGGTGCTTGCGGCGGAGGGTCGACTGTTTGTGTAAGCGAACATACCTCATAGTAGTATTTTCAAATGAAATCCAGAGTATGAGAGTCTCTAACGTCAAAAGAGTCATCCCACATGTATACATAGCACCGGTCATGTGTTATAGCTCTATATCTGAATACACATTAAATGATTTAAAAAAAAATAGCGCCTAGGACCCCATGTCCGTGCAGCAACGGCTCACCCATCCGTTCCACTTCTCGCAGCTTCAACGCGTGCAGCGACGTGCGGGTCTTGGCTGACAGCTGTTTAGTGCATGCAGCCTCAGGCGACTAGTCTATCGAGGCAGTCTAGCGCCGTGAAGGAAGCGGTGTGGGCAGGGCGAGTGGGTCGCCGCCAGAGGCCACACACGCACCATCGCAACGAGCACTCCCGTAAAAGCGGCAGGGCCGAGATGGAGCCAATTGCTAGTCGGGAGGACCTGTGCTGGCGGAGAGCCGACGACGCCAAGACTATCCTGACATTTCAACCCGTGCCTTCGGGGGGGGATAGAGAGTGACTCTCTAGCCTACACAAGTCTGCAGCACCAGCTAGCTGGCCTCGGAGCGCTTCGCAAGCAAAGCGATGTCCTCGGATGTGCCTATCATGTCGGCATGGGAGAGCGCGCACCTAGCGAATCTCGAAATCTTCACGGCCAACACACACGCGCGAATGCCCATCGTCTCGCAGTCTCGAGAGGGGAGCTGCGTACGAGGGGATATACGACAAGCCCTTGCACTCATGGCCTATCAGCCGTGAGGGCCTGCATTTCCCACACAGTCATCGATGGAGAAAGTGCCAGGTCGTCAGCGCGATCCGAGAGAGCTGAAGCTAAGAATTCACAGCTTTACCCGTCAGCCATGGTCAGAGACGCAGTAGCGGCGTCAAATCTATCCAACTAGACCAAGGATAACCATAGCCGGATCCCCAAACCATCAAGCATCTCCCGCCTAGCGTATGAGCCCCGAAGACACAATAGCAGTAGCTGGCGCATCCTAGCGCCATCTGGTCGCAATCCAGAACCAAGACAGCCAGCTCACGCTAGTGCGAAGGATAAAATGTGTCCGTCTTCTACGCAAGTAAAAGGTGGTTGAGGAAGCATAAGTCACAGCTGAAGGCTCTACGAGATATATTGAAGTCTCCAAAGGGCCCAGGCCAGCACTGCTGTGTAGATAAAAAGTGGGCACATCGGGCTCAATAACCATATGTATCGAAAGTGAGTGCGGAGAGTCGGTACCCTAGAAACGCCACATCGGTGTCTGTCTTCAAAGTTTCAGCACGCATTGGTAGCCTGCTCAGATTGGTCCAAATAGGATGCAAAATTCTGTATTGTAGTAGAGATTCGCCCATTCGAGTCAATAATCAATAGCCTTGAAGATGTTGAATGAATCACTTAATAGATTCTGTACCTATTATGGTCAAATGACGAAACAAAAGCAATCATGGAAAACATTGAGCAAGCTAGAGTCAAGGGCCCGGGAGGGGAACTAAGTGGATTCCGGACTAAGCTTAACTGTTAAACTCACTTGAGATGAAACGATTAAAGAGTAGGAACAAATAGTTGAGGGTCAGATAACAATACTACTCTCGTTTTCTCCCGTGAGATAGTTAGAGCTTATAGCCACCTACGTGAGCCCATAGGGCGCCAAGTCGTATTTCCTGGGATCAAATTCAAAAACAATATTCACACAACTTTAGATCCAAGTTTTACAGTAAAACTTTAATTGTAATACTATTTGCACAATTTGTACATGACACAGTTAAATAAACGATGCATACTATATTCAACTAGTTCACCCAGGTCGTACAAGAGCGGAAGGTATGGAATGAATCTTATTTGGACTAATCTGGTCAGCATATGAAGCCGTTGTCACCTGGAAAATAACAGAGCAAACGATTATCCGTGTATCATAATTCAGAAGTAGACTGGTTTGCTCCACTACTACTCCTTTAGAAGACTAGGTGACTTGTGAATATTTAAAACTTGAATAATATCAAAATGATTGATTGGAAACCTTTAACACCCGCTAGCCAGCCAAATAATAGTTCGTGAGGCTATGTAGCAATCTTCACTGAAATGTAATTTATGTCGAGGCCAGTCATCGTTACAATCACAGTTTCCCTGGTAACCGAATCGTGCTAGCAGGAAGTCAAAAGCCGAGATATCTAGAGTATTCCAGCTCCGACAGAAACGGAATTATTTCCAAAAGTCCCATTGAAAAGCTGATCACGAATTGATCCAAGGTCGTTAGTTGTACCATTAACGCCCATCCAATCCAAGTTTGAACCTAAAACACTTGTGGCCATATGCATTCGACCTCTACTTTGCTCGTTGTGTTTGTATAGTATCTGGTCCCATCCTCCAGTGTGTAATTGGAATCCTCCTCCTCGCTTAGATGCCTCCGTGATGACCAGAACCCAAGCTCTCGAAATTACGTCGTAAGCATTATCCTTATACTGCCGGTTGGAGTGGGAATCCCACTCTGGCAATTCGTGGATTACTTTGGTAGCAGCGTTAAGATAGGATAGAGAGATCGAGGCCTGATTCTCGTTGGGAGGTAGATATTGCGGTGTAAAGTCGGTCAAAGCGTCAATTAGATCAGTCAAATGTTGTCTCACTCTGTGAAATGCATAATCCGATCCAGAATTCCCACCGTAGGGAAAGGCTTGTTGGAGTTTCTCCTGGTATTGTGCTAGTACTTGCGTAACGGCTTGAACCGACGGCTTAGGTGCGGACGTGGCAACCTCTGTGCCTATTTGTGGGTGTCGTTCACAGATAGTTTGTAGGACTGATCGGAGAGAAGCAGCATCTAGGGTTTCGAGGAGTCGATGAATCGTTATCGGACGAGCGCAGGCCTCATTTACTCGGACTCTTTTTTGTGGGCGAGCCAAAAGACGAGATAGGAGGGCAGGTGGAGAGTTTGTTGGCGATATAGCCATGCTATGATCGATTTCTTCTTCCGCTTTTCGCTTGCGGGTACTCATGGCGGAGTTTGTTGTATGGGTATCTGGGAATTGAAGCACAAGAGTTAGCCAGCAAACATCATTAATCATTGTTTATCATACCAGTGTGGTGCTGGGTCACATCGTGATGATGGAGAGGGAACTCGGAAAATGACGATGGATGTATGGGTCTCAGTACGTTCATTTTGATAGAGTTCCCTAGAAGATGGGGATAATATTGAAGGAGACGCCCTCGATTTCGTATCTCCTAGTTGGCAAACTTAGGGCTCATTCACTTCAATTGATCTCTCTCTGAGGAATGCTGGACAGTGGAGATGGCAAGAGGGTGTAGTAGTGATTATACAGGCAACCAGGCAACCCTCACTGCGCTTATGTCATCAAGATCCACAAATTAAGTGTGAAGGTTAGGCGGCGACATGATATTATGCAGGCGACAATCTACATCAAATGGCGAAGATGTCCATCAAGGCAGCAGGTTTCTCACGGCAGAATGCTAGAATCCCTGCCGTCAAGCTTTGTCTGCGAAGAATTTTACCGTGGTAATGACTAAATAGCTTCCAGGCTCAACCAGTTTATCCAAGCGGAGCTGCAAGAGTCACCTGAAGGTTTCATTTCTTCACGTACTTTCAACATCGTGATCATGACCAGGTCAATGAACACTTGTTGCTCTCACAAATAATGCAAAACTCATTACAGGACTTACCCGGCTCCCATTACTTGGCAAGTGAAGTAGAAATTGCTGGTATCCTCATGAAAGGACACGTGCGAGGTAACGGCTAGCGGGTGCTGCCATTTAATTATAGTTTCATCTATTCTTTCCATCAACCTTTTGACGCAAAGCAATGTTGTTGATGCAATGAATATCACCAATGTCCCCTCATCGGCCAGGCTAGACTTTGCACTCAAGGCCCTCCTCGTCTAGTGTTGAGATTGTACGAAACTTCGGCAACTCGCTCCGTCGCATTAATTTCCACCACAGATAGTGAAGTTTTATCCAGTGCTCGTAGGGGTAAAAGCCGTGGCAAATCTTTCATGTGCATAATTTATCCTTCCATCCTTAGTCTAGGTGGATTTTGGATTTTAATCAAGGCTAGAAGATTAAAATTGGACAGAGATTCAGGAAAAATAGCCAGTGTAGCGGCGCTTCAACCAAACCGAGGCCGCGCGTTGCTAGGAAATTGATTATTACAAACATTTTTGTCTAATGTGATAAACAAGTCTCCGCGATCAAGACTAAGTTTGTAGCAAATGATATAATTTTGGCATGGTAGTTTAAGAGGGTGAGTACTCCGATAATAGTCGCTTCAACCTTCCTGGCAATCTCAAGTCTGCTAACCGACAGCGTTTATGTGTAGACTGAAGAAGCAGGGGCGCTGAGTGAGTAAACATGATAGAATAGACACAAATAGCGCATGAGATTGGCTTTGGAAGATCCACTCCCATCACGCATTGTAACGATGTCGCGAATCGGCAATAATTTTGTAAATCGGCCATTGGTAGGGATCTGGTGTTTTCAGCTAGAATTTAACGAGATTCAGTCTTTCTATGGCGTTTTGAGATAGACCCACACCACTTCAATCACTACAGGGATACTCCTAGCTACAGCGTCTACGGCTGTCAGCATTTAGGCAAAGCATCACGGTGATTGCTGACGACGGCAGCTACCTTGCGGCTCGACATGACGTTAAGCTACAGTGCAATCATCTTGGTCCCGAACACACAAGTAACCCTTTACCCGGTCAAAAAAAATAGTAGCTCTCCAAAAGAACAGTATGTCGGAAAATTGTTGACAAAATTTATAATGACATGCATCACAGTTACTCACCGCACACTTTAGCTTTTCGTGGAGGAGGCTAACAATGACCTCAATTACCCGTCTAATAGATCACAAAGAGAATAGCGGAGGCATAATCTTACCGATAAACTCTAATATTTATAGATAGTGTATTTCGGAAAGTGAGCTCATTCCGTAGGTAGGTTCTGGGAGCTGGCCGAGGTAGGGCCCGGATGCCTTAATCTTCCCCATATATTTAAGCTCCGCCTAAGGTGAAGTCAAAATTCTGAGCTGCTCCGGTACGCCAGAGCGAGAAGTATGGGGGAGTAGCTATAAGGATGAATCGGTGATTGTGTGATTAGGACGGTAAAGACGAAGGCACTTTACTGGAAGCTCTCTCATAGGCCAACGTGATCCCACCGTATACTGGGCCTATTGTTTCCTGGTCATCTCCCACGGCTCGGATGGTCCTATGGTATACCATATGGCTTGGAATCGGCGGCTGAGCTACCAAGCTCCAAATAAATGCCATGGACCTCGAGCACCACGAAGCCATGAGACGACGGCGCGTCTCTATCGGATGTGGTATTGCGGACGTATTGAGGCGGACAAGAGGGGTTTTCATGGGCGAAGAGGCTCAGATGGGAGAAAGCCGATATCCCTGCGGAAACGTCAAGGTCATAATATCAGCGAATGCAACCCACGACATAAAGTGACCACCAATATTTGGGTGAAACTGTTAGAGGAAGCAAATGTCCCTCAAACGTGTAAGGCTTGGAGAATTACGAGGGCAGAGAACCCCGAGCCGCGTGATACTGACATATTCATGAGCTCAAATGCAATTAGCAATCGAAGTATTCGTTAAGCCTCCGCAAGCCCAGCGCGTTTGCCCGACTCGAGCTACCTGGATTCGGAGACTGACAAGTGATATGCGCCGAGGGTATTCTGCTGCACGAGAGGCATGGAGTCAGTCAAAGGCTGAAGGCCCCAAAGCACTCTCTGCGATTATGAAAGTGATTTCTAGGACCCAGTTGCAGACAAAAGGCGCCTTGTCCACGCTGGTCCATGCAGCAATGAAGTCAAAGACATTCGACCACGCCCTTGCTTCACCCGATCGTTTGAGACAAATAATGGTAGCCATTGGTGGCCACTTTTTGTCGTGGGTTGCATTCGCTGATATTATAACCTTGACGTTCCCGCAGGGATATCGGCTTTCTCCCATCTGAGCCTCTTCGCCCAGGAAAATCCCTCTTGTCTGCCTCAATACGTCCGCAATACCACATCCGATAGAGACGCGCCGTCGTCTCATGGCCCCACGGTCTCCTCGCATAATCAGGCGCATCTTCTGATCTGCTCGACTTGCATTTATCGTAATTCTTCGTACCAGACCAAACTCTCCAGAGCAAACCCCCAAGTCACGCTAACACGGCCAACATGATCAAATTGATATTCCCAGCATCACTGCCCTCGGTGCATGGAATGGAAAGACTAAAAAATTTCAGAGCTAGTAAGCTCGTATATTACAAATATTACTGGAATCTAATGAGATGCCATGATGTTTTCTTTGTATTTATATTTTCTTACCGCTATTGAGATCAAGATCATGTAGCACAAGGGATAGTCATTGACTCAACTACATAGTAACCAGTGTGCGACCATCTCCAGTTAGAAGTCCAAGTGTGAAAGATAAACTGGCTTGTAATTTATCGGGAAAAGTAGAGGTTGTTGCGTTAAATTCATTGACCCCTTAATCTTAGCTACGAACGACTTGAACATGTTCCCAAGAGCCACCGGGATCCGAGCTGCACTTGACTCCCTACCTTTGTTAAAAATAATGTTAACAATAATGTTAGAATAATTTCATCATCTATGTGACACCCAATAGAACCTTTCTGTCTGCGACGCGGGTCAGCTAGACAAAGATATCTTCGTATTGAACTCTGTCGGGAAGCCCAAGAGACGATAAACGGGGCAAAGCATGACAGCAGGGACCTTGGTTTCTGACACGCAAGTATTTGACGGCATTTTGAGTTCAAACTGCAGCGAGCTATTCTTTGCCAACTGTTCTGAACCAAAATTGGCATCTGTGGCTGTCAGAATATCACAACTACTCCGAACCCATACAAGCAGAATCTGATGGCGTTGATGGGCGAGAGAAGATTTCAGCAGTGCCATTTCCAGTATCTAGCGAGAAAACAGGTCGGGCCTACCAACGCCATGGCGGGAGCGGTAGAAGGCGCGAGTGTTTTCCGGCACGTAGTGTAGGAATGATATTTCGCTAGCCAAATCTGGCCGTGCTCTGAGGTTTCGAGAATATTGCCGCGAGGTACATAATCATCAACCCTTGGAATCCAGGAAAGCTGCTGATCGTAGAACAATGAGATGAGCTAGAATCCTCTTTTCCATTAGCCTCAATGTTCCTTACACTTCTACATGCAAGGCGTGAGTCGGGACGGTGATGTGAAGTTGTACGACGTACTTTGTTATCTTTAAGTGCGAGTGACACATCAGTCAGACGCCAGGCTATTCTCCCCTGACATTTTGTGTAGATGATAAAATCCCGAAATCAATTGTGCCCTGACCCTGGTACTCCTGTTAATTTATTCCGTCGTGTAAAGCCTAGAGAGGGCTTCATGTGAGCGTCACGTGAATCGTCAAACGTGAGAGCAAACACAAGAAAGAATGAGGCACAAAATCCCGCTTCAAGTCACTCACAGCACCCTAATCCTAACCCTAATTACGCTCCTGAGCACCATCAATATTCCGATATGTCTGCAACTAGATCTTACTCTCGCTTTTGGACTGCATCCAGAATTATGCTTGCACAAGTCTGCTTACAGGTTTTCTCATTGCGAGTTGCTTCTTGGGTTACTTGCGCACACATCAGCCCTATGAATCAACGCAATATAGACTTACAGGCTTAACAAATGACTGCTGTGACCCCAGAAGGGATTGGCTCACAGTCGAGCTACTAGTGCAAGTAGAATAGCTTTAGATGGGACGATAACTACGTCTGGCGATCTTCCAAGCCCGAGAGACTGGATCTTATCCGTAAACCTAATAGACGTTATGTAAAAATCACTCAATATAGGTTGTGGTTATGAGCTACGCGGAAGTCATAGTGCGGAGCGTTGGAGAGTGGATGACGTTATACTTGGTAGGTGACAGTGAATAGACTCATACAATAATATGCTGTAGCTACATGAACAGAAAGTGTAATAATAAATCTTTGTCCTTTTATTGTGGGTACATCTATGAAACTGTATACATTCTCGCCTAACCAATATACCAGTGATACAAGTTGTGGCCCAGCTGGCCAGCCTCTTCGAACGCTTCAAGTGAGTCACTTTGTCTTCGGATTTAGTCCTGATGTCGGTATTAGAAGAGCCCCGCACCCAGTGGTTTTTGCCATTTTTTCCGCCTACCATACACCCACAAATGACCATCGTTTCGTTGGCTGGAGAGAGGAGACAATGAAGGGCAAAGGGCTACTATAAGTGTATGATCGAATGAGGACTTGTGAGGGGTGGTACCGTTTGAGCGGAGCTGTATGGGAGACATATGAGGCATAGTAGTGGGTATACTACTGGCATAGGCATCCTTGGCCTGCAGCCAGAGAAGACCTGCATGTTTTACATAGTCATAGACTCAGACAGGACAATAAAATAATAATATATGCCGTGGCCTTAAGCCATACGCAATTTCACGGCCTAGACTAATTCGTCGTCACACATCACAACAACATATGACTACCATGCTTCCATGGTGCGTGCAGGTTACGCAATATTCCTGAGACATATACACTCAATAGTACAATAGCCATACCAAAATCAAACATCTAAGCTCTTGAGATGGTACTACCGTACCTAGTCCGTCAGGAAGGTGATAATGGTCGGTTTAATCTTCCTTTCGACGGAGAATATCGTTTCAAATTTAAACATGATCTGAGCTGTAAATTTTTCTTTCCGACCAATTGGTTCAAACTAAATAGTACAATTTCTAATGCCAGTTTTCTTGGCAATAACTTGTGAGAACACTAAGGCTTATTTCTGAAATGAATACCAATATTTAGAGTGCTTTCTTTGAAAGCCGTAGGTAAAGGAATTACCAAGTGTAGATGTCTATTTGTCATGATGAAGGTCTCAATACGACTATCACATCGCTCGCTAATTTTCAAAATTAAAAGCAGTCATCGCTTCATAGTCACTATTTAGGGTTCAAGCTATGGGGAAAAATAAAGAGTATTTCAGGCTCTAAATATAAATAGTTGTGATCCTCATTGAGTTTATGTTCAAATCTCAAAGGATCTGAATGGTCAGCATACTTTTCTCGAGCGAAATTCTGTAAAAATATTATGATAATGACATCATACTATTCTAAATTTACTAGACTAGACTTGATATATTTGGCTGCAATTTCGGAAATTGTATTCTGACGGGCATTCAGAATTTAATGAGATAACAGAACCGCCATTCTCTGATTCAACTTCCTTAAAGTGATCTTTGACATAATTCTTGACCTTGCTGGCAGGTCGGATAAAATTGAGGATTTCATTTTCGATCTTTATTTCGTGTTCTCTCTGATTCGATGCAATATTATTTAAGCTCAACAATTCTTCTCTATTGTAGATAATACGATTTGGATGCCACTGCAGAGAAGGAAAAATCCGGTGCATTTGATTCTGGATCGGACCAGTAGCTTGTAGCTTCTGACCACAAATTTCAGAAGTGCAAGACGAAATATTTGTTATGTCAGAAAGAACATAACTACCATCGGAGTTGTCATTATTACTTTTGGATGCATCTGAGGTACAAGTCTTGTCTCCCGAACACTTCTTGCTTTTTTCATACTTGTAGCTCGTTAGTTCTGACAATTTAGGAATTTCAAAAGGACCTTAGCAAGCATTAGTTTTGTTAAATGAAGCATTGAGCAGGTTTTAATCACTAATCGGACGAGAAGGTGTTTTATGAAATGAAATTTGCCGTTCGTCTTTGACAGCCTCAAGCGTCGACTTTGCAGCAATTGAACCTTTTTTTATGCGATCAGGCCTCCTTGCTATATTATTATCTCGCTGTTCCTTTGATTTTTCATTAAACCCCATAACTGTGTCATTTCCAAGATCTACTCTATTTGCATTTGCAAATTTTTTTGTGACTGATTGAGCCGGTGATACCTGTGCGCTTAATGAATCATGTTGGAAACTATTCACTCTAGTTGCGTTAATGATTCCCGACTCATTCGTACCTTTGTGTCTTTCTTGAGAGAGTGAAGCGGAGGATTTCGCTTTAACTAAGGAATTCTCAGCCAGTTTTCCTGAACCGTGGAGGAAATGCACTAAATTATAAGCTATTTGGAATAAAATTGAGAAAATTAATGAAATTATAGCGAATAATAATAATCGCCAATCCATAGAAAAATTTATTTTACCTTTGTCAAGATTATCAGGTTCTACTTCCAGGGAATCATCGCTTATTTCTATCAGATCATCTGATAAGTTATTAAAGTCAAGCCGCTTCCCAGGACGTTTATTTTCGGGCGACTGAGTGGTTGAATAAAATTTAGTCTTATCTGAATCCTGGCTGGAGGTATTCATACTAGAGCTATTTGAAGCGCTAGAGATTGAAGATTTCACAGGCGAGTCAAGATCAATCAAATTGATTTCATTTGTTTTAGCTTCAAAGTTCTGAGCTTCTTTTGAGGGATTTAGGGGATAAATTATCTTTTGTCCAAGTAGATTTGACTGTATAGATTGGGATGTCTCTTTTACACGAGACCCCGAGGTTGATTTTCGGGGCGAAATTTTCTCTGGTATTTGTTTGGAGCCAATGATTGATTCTTTTCGCAAATTCAAGTAAAGTTTTTGGAATTCAACCTTCGTGTAACAGGTTTGGAAGGCAATTTTCCATGTTGCGACTTTTTTACACTTCGAAACTGTTTTATAAATGATAGTTGTCCTAGTAGCATCATTCGCGTCCGTCACAAAAAGGGAGTTCTCACTGATTACTTCCTTGACAACAGATTTTCCATTTTGGACGAGCTCAATCTCACCACAACCAGAGGTTTGTATCTTTGTTAATCTTACTACACCTGATTGTTCGCTTGCCGAATTTTTTTGAAGTTTCACTCGCGTCTCTTTGATTATCCTACAGTCAGTGGAAGATAAGACAGATTTTTCGGGGGATTGGATTTCATTTTTAAAGTTTTCTATGTTTTGAGCCCACTTTGAGTCCTGAAGTGATCCTAATCTTATCTGCTCCGTTATAGGCGAGCTTCTATTTTGGGATTTATCTTTCGAATATGAACTCACAATACTTGATTTTAAATTTGATAATTGTGGTTTCTCGGGTGTAAGATCTCTACATTGTAAGTTATCAGCCCTCTTAAAATTAGAGACCAATTTTTGAGTGTCATGCGGTTTTAAGCTTTTTTTTGGCGGGGACTTTGGAGTACTGCAAGTTTTTTCGTCCTTAGAAGATGCATAACATGAAAGCGTTGAAGTTTTATCGCCATTATTTTCCTTAAATTGAGAAGCCAAAGTTTTTGGTTGAATGGCGAAAGCAAGAAAAGCATCTTCATCTAATTTTCCCCAAGCGCTTGACTCTGTCAATGATCTGTGTTTAGTTGGATACTTTTGGCCGATTGTTTGTGATCGGGTTAAGGGGGGTTCTTTTGGCTGATGAACTGAATGGTTCATATCTTTTAAGTGAGGCTGTAATTTTTTTTCGGCAGCTAATTTATGGTTACCCGCCACGCTTTCACGAAGACGATTTATAGACATTTTAATTTTTGTGCTGTTGTCAATATATTGTTGACGGCTACTAGGAAAGGCACGCGCTTGTGACAAGTTTTTCCTTGGGAAACTTTCGGCGAGTTTAGCAGATTTTAAAGTAGAAACAACTGGTTACGTACTCAGAATTCCTTCGCATAAATGAAGTAAGTTTTCCACTAATAGAGTCTTGCTTCCACTTCTCTTTTTTGTCACTTCCGTTATTGGCTGTTACATTTTGTTCTTCATTTAAAGGATCAAGTTTTCCCTGACGAAGATATTTTTCATCTCCATTGGCTACATAGATCCCACGGTCGTTGAAGCTAAGGGCTCGTCGCCTAATCCGAGCGAGCTGGCCATCTGCAATTGAGTCTATCTCACTTTCTGCAGGATTTATATCATCAAATTTGATATCTGATTTATTAGCATCTTAAAGGGTATGTAACAGTGAGGTGAGTACTTTGCCATGCAATAACACCAGAGTTATTTTTTTTGGGGGATTTTAATTTCTTTAACATTTCAGCCTCATCGATTTTAACATCGTTGATTAAATCTTCAAGTGGAAGTGCATCCTTGCGCTTGATTCCAAGCTCTTCCTACATTTTATTAGTGTTAACCATGACTTAATTTGTACTCTAATACCATCATAGCAGCTTGTATTTCTGCTAAATTTTGGGCTTCTATAGAACTTTTTCCAGATTTAATCATTTCGGTACCATCCAACGAATAACTACTTTGTCGTGAAATTTCCATTGTTGAAAGTATCACTTCTTTTTTAGCACCGCAAATATATATGTGCCTAGATTGTGGTAATAATCGTAGTTTTACAAATTTTCCAAAGGGAATATCGGTTTATTGACGTTAAAAGGAACTGCAAGTGTATTTCACACAAATACTGGTAGTAGGCGCTCTTTTATGTCGTCGGTAGCGTTAATTATTTAGATAGTAGATCAAAGAATCCAAGGATAATAAATTTGCTTGAGGTAAAGGTGAAATGACTTACAAATTCCACCTTTATTAACAAGGATGGTTTAGCTTCATACATACAAGTCAGAGATCAGGTGACAGGTAATATCATAAAGTATAAATTGGTATGAAATTGGCTGCTGGAGTTGAGAGAGACCTGTTTTTGCTAGTGAGATCCAAAAAAGTTCTAATGTTTCTGGGTGTTGAAACTTATCTTAGTTTCCGATAGATGCTCCTCACTAGATAATCGATTCGTTTGTGTAGGGCCACAATAGCATTTCTACAGATCAAATTTGATGAAATGTCGTATGAATTTATTGAAGAGAGATAGTGTGTTAAGAGGATGAAAAAAGCTGCCAATAGTGGAAGTAATTCAAGCGAATGGCTCTTTCCATTCTTGTAATTGACTCCGTGATTAGTGGTCATAGTTTTTGAGTTGTTGAGAGTTTGGAAACATATTTAGATCTTTTTATAGCGTAATTATAGGATTCTATCAGAGATTCACACAGCGTCATTCTTTTCAAGAAGCTTGAAGCCAGATTTTTTATTGGGGAATCATAATACCAAGTTAAGGTACGAGGTCAAGACAAAGCTTGTGGTCAATAATCCCGTCTCTGTCTCTGAAATTATCAAAGTAGTGTCATGAATAACAAAAGATTAATCAGGATAAATTGCAAGAAAAAAATTTGAGTTTCAGGTGTAGCAACCTGTAAAATAACATTTGCGAAACTGCAAAAATCTCTTGCCTGATCTAGGTGTGCCCCAACCATTTAATAGCTAATATATATCATGTAGTGTACTTTAGTGATTATTGAGAATGTAAAGTTATGTGATCAGTCTTTCAAGCTGCTTCTTTGACAGGGCAACTAGCATACTTTCAAATTTATTATACCGAGCACGTCATCTAAATCTAACGAGCATCGTATGGGTACTTGGAGTGTCCAGTTACACTGCTTTCCATATCACCCGCGCAAGTACCAAATCTGCTGTTTAGGATTTAATTTCAGGTATTGCAAGGACCCCATCACAATCGTTGCTTTTGTAGTTGAGATTTTTTTAACGCTATAAGTTCTTGTCGGATAGGTAAAATAGACGTGTTTAGCTTCGGGAGGTTGATATGCCTTAAGCTGCTCCAAATTTATTTAATTTAATATAAGTAAAGGTCGTGCCTGGAGCTGCTCCTAATCGTTGTCGTTTATGTCTGCATTTGATGCTAAGTAGGCTCACGGTATGACCTGGACTCAGTGCCCAAGAATGGGTGTGGCGCGTTTGCATATCCTTTTACTGTCGGACAACGTATGTGTGTGTATTTATTGTGCTACTTGATTCTATGAATATCTAACACATTTGGCTTTTTTTTAACCCATGCCACACCTTATGTCGCGCTCCTATCTTCTTTTATTACTTCAAAGATCATTCATGTATTGCACGTGATGGATAGCCGTTCAGCCCAGTATTTACCCGTAGAATTCGGCCATTTTTTCCACGCGACCTTCAGCCCAAAAAGGTAAAACGGTAGCAATGTAAATTGCGTGCGCGGGAATAAGTCTCAGAAAACCTACAGCTCCAGCCGGGCGAGGTACGCATATTGATCTACATCTCCCTTCTTGGTAATAGTCGAGGCCGACTTGATCCAATCCACTATCTGCGTATCGGGTGCTGGGTACGCTCCGGAAACTCATCGGATGGTTTCTCCTCCATGATCAAGGGTTGGTGATGAGTAGGGCTCCGACCCTACCATCTGATCTGATCGTGGTTAGCTTCATGATAGTGGTGATAGGGGAATGTGTTGAGAGATGAAGACGATATAGACGACAAAAGCGATTTGGGACCCCCATGAAAATGAGGACTTTTATACTAAATCTTGGCTCAGCAGACTCTACAGTGAGATCTGAAGGTTCGTAGGGGACAACACTTACAGGTGTTGAGAATTGTCCCCCAGGTTTATCTAGTAGAGAATATGTATCTACATGATTTACTAGGGGGCTCAGCAGCGATGTCTTGGACTTATCACGATCTGCAAATATGATATATCAGGTGACTTAGGAAAAGAATTAATTCGTGATCTCTAAGATTTCCCTACTCAACGAACATGACCAGTCAACCTACAGCTCACAATATTCTTGAATCCAAGCTTTAAGCAGTTGGCGTCATATTTACAGGCTTTCTAGTACTGAGCAGAAAGGTATGTTGAGGAATCAAGCTCTTCATCACGGCAAATATGCTAGAAAAAATGTGGGTGACACAAAAGTATTGATACATCGACTGACTTTACACTAGCTCTGGGCATGTAAAAGTTATGGGTCGTTTCAACCTTCTCGAGGTCTAGCAATAGTGGCTGATGGCAAAACGGTATCTCGACAGAGTGAGATAGATCCCCGAGCGCCTCCCTACGCGAAACTCACCGAAAAGTTAAGCTTAGTGCGGAGATTGCTTGGTGATGCCAGAAAACTCACACTAGCGGAAAAAATATTGTTTTCGCATTTAGGTGACCCTGAAGAATCACTACTCTCTAACTCCGATAACGGGCGAAATATTAGAGGAAATGCGGTCCTCAAGCTCAAACCAGATCGAGTCGCCATGCAAGATGCTTCCGCACAAATGGCTCTACTACAATTCATGACGTGTAGAATTCCCACAACAGCTGTTCCAGCTAGCATACACTGCGATCACATGATTGTTGCTGAAAACAGTGCAGATTCTGACTTAGCAGAGTCTGTTAAGGGTAACGAAGAGGTCTTTCAATTTCTAGAATCCGCAGCCAAGAAGTATGGCATCGAATTTTGGCCACCTGGGGCCGGAATAATACACCAAACAGTTTTGGAGAACTATGCCGCACCAGGATTAATGCTTCTAGGTACCGATAGCCATACCCCCAATGCTGGTGGTCTGGGAGCTATTGCGATTGGAGTTGGTGGGGCCGATGCGGTAGATGCGCTCGTCGATGCTCCGTGGGAACTCAAAGCTCCAAAAATTCTCGGTGTTAGATTAGAAGGCGAATTGAACGGCTGGGCCTCTCCAAAAGATGTTATCCTATCACTCGCAGGAAGGTTGACAGTTCGAGGTGGGACTGGCTACATTATTGAATACCATGGACCCGGTGTGCATACGTTGAGCTGTACAGGAATGGCAACTATCGCAAATATGGGCGCTGAAGTTGGTGCCACTACATCGGTTTTCCCATTTTCGCAACGGCACTACACATATCTTGATTCAACTCATAGATCATTCATAGCCCGGAAAGCCAAACAAGTTTCCGAATCTCCACTAAAATACAATTTGCTGGCCGCTGATGAAGATGCACAGTACGATGAACTCATTACAATCAACCTATCTGAACTCGAGCCTCATATAAATGGGCCGAATACTCCAGATTTATCAACACCAATCTCAAAGTTTTTTAGCTCTGCTAAAGAAAATGAGTGGCCCAAAGAAATATCTGCCGGTCTCATTGGAAGCTGTACCAACAGCTCATATCAAGATATGACACGGGCTGAAGATCTTGTAAAACAGGCTACTGCAGCTGGCCTTAAACCTGTAGTGGATTTTTTCGTAACACCGGGAAGTGAGCAGATTAGGGCAACACTTGAACGCGACTTGACAATTTCTACTTTCAAAGATGCTGGAGCTATCATTCTTGCAAATGCATGTGGAGTAAGGTCTTCCTCACCCAAAACTATCTCTTGAAAGCTAAAATTACAAGTAGCCGTGTATAGGTCAGTGGTCACGCAAAGACATGAGCAAGGGAACGCGTAACGCAATCCTGACCTCTTACAATCGAAATTTTCGAGGTCGCAATGACGGCAATCCAGAAACAATGAATTTTCTAGCCTCCCCAGAAATAGTAACAGCAATGTCTTACGCAGGAAGCACCAGCTTCAACCCCATAACCGACAGTATCCGCACCCCATCAGGCCAAAGATTCCAGTTCTCCCCCCCGAAAGGATCTGAACTCCCACTATCTGGGTTTGAAAGTGGTGATCCCAGATTTCGCCAAATTTCGGGCCCCCCTTCGCCAGACACTGAAGTAGTCGTCTCACCCCACTCGGAGCGGCTTGCTTTGCTCGAGCCCTTTGATCCGTTTCCAGAGGCAGAATTAAAAGGACTTCGCGTTTTATTCAAAGTTACCGGAAAATGCACGACCGATACCATTTCTGCAGCCGGTCCATGGCTCAAGTACAAGGGTCATTTACCAAATATATCGGCAAATACACTCATTGGCGCAACCAATTCCGCCACAGGTGAAGTTAATGTAGCATATGATTTTGATGGCAGCCGATTCGGTATACCAGAACTGGCCCAGAAATGGAAAGACCAACACATCCCTTGGCTAGTAGTAGCCGAGGATAATTACGGAGAAGGGTCTGCGCGTGAGCACGCTGCTCTACAGCCACGCTATCTCGGAGGTCGCATAATTCTTGCGAAATCATTTGCTCGAATTCACGAGACCAATCTTAAAAAACAAGGAATTATCCCATTGAAATTCTTCAATCCAGATGATTACAATCGAATTGATGCGTGCGATGAAGTACACACTATTGGTCTTCTTGATGTTCTCAAGGGTAGCGACAACCTTGTTAGCCTTGGTGTGAAGAAGCACAAAACTATGGAATACTTTGAAATCAAGGTTCAACATACTTTAAGTAAAGATCAGCGCAAGTTTATCTTAGCTGGCAGTGCCCTGAATCTGTTGTCAAAAATTAATAAGTGAGTCGAATATTGGCCGGTTGTTACTAAATATCGGCCACTTCACCAGACCAAAAAAGCCAAATTTGCTGTACATGTAAGCAAGGATTTATCTGTGCTTTTTCTGCTCCGCTGGGAAGAGATTATTGGATTTTATAATGTGAATATGGTGAAGTTAGTCTTTGATACATTACTTACTATTTGATTTGGATCGGCTGGGCGTAGCAATGCTTTTACATAAAAATTTCATAATATGATATTTCAAATTTTTTACACACTGCTATGAAAGCTACACGGCATTTTAATCACTCTGACAAGATGAACCGATTTGATTTATGTGAGTATGCGTTAGTTCATGCTCTAACCCCAAGGGTTACCCGGAGATATACAATATGAGAAATATTTACAGCTATGTCTTCCACCAACCTGGTGATTTTCCCGTCAAAAGTATTTTCCTAAGATGCCGCACGGCCAGCTTCGTTATTATCCTGGCACAGGCGGTATAGGGGACTCGAGTCTTCCCCAAAATGCCGGTGTGCCAGAACAACGAAAAATACCGTAGACAAATCACAACTGCACAGTTGGCTACCGGTAACTCGCTGAAATCTTGTGGTTTCAGGCTTGCAATAGCATTGATTATTGTTTTTTATGATCTGAGCACTGGTTTGGTCTCTCCGTTACAGTGGAGGCCAATTTTTTAGCTTCTGTTGTCGATGCCGAGTACTCTGCCTCGCACCTACATCTAGTTCAACTACTTCGTTTCTGTCCGCAGTGTATTCCCAATCTCTCAACAATTTCGCCCATCTGCTACTCGTGGTTTAGATCAGGTTTGGAAAGGTCCACATTTAAGTGAATTATTCAATTTTCCTGAATCAGCGCCGCAAGGCGCATGCACGTGTGTCCGGAAGATATATATTTCGTGCAGAAGTACTATTTTTGACATGTAGAGACATGATTCATTCATTCATTAGTTGATATTGTTCAGACAACCATAACTATATCACAACATCATGTATAGACATGATTCATCTTAATTCATATCACCATCAATAGCTGCAAAGCATAGTGTTAGACACTGAGGGTCAAATGAAATATGTAAAGCAAACTTGAATTGATGAAATCTCTGCTCCTCAACTCCTCTCCGGCCTTGATGCCATATACCCAATCTAAAACTATGTCCGGGAGAGAATATCTTCTCCTCGTTTCCCAAAATTACAATTAAAATATATTACATGTGTTGGAGATCAAAAGATCTCGAGTTGGAGCTTTGAACATCCTGATCATCCTGACTATCCTTAACATCTTGAACACCCTAATCACCATGTCCTAGCTGAGATATCAAAGCTCGTATAAGCTAATCCGAGAAGATGTGTCATCCTGATATCCAATAATTCTCAGTACTTTATTCAGTAGGTTCCAAGCTATCAGATATTTGACAGATAATTTCATCATTTCCAAATGTATTTTGTTCGCATTAGGTCCTGAACAACGATATCTGGCCTAATTGTGCTATGTTGCAGGCTACTATCACAACAATATACGGAGAGGGGGACTATTCTCAACGGCTGTCAGTAGTGTCCTCTACGAACCTCCAGCTCTCACTGTAGAGCCTGCAGAGCCGAGATTGAGAATGTAAGGGAGACGTCTCAGATAGATAATATTGTGGATCCTGAATTCCAAGTCCGAGCGAAACGCCAAGTCTCACGGCAAGCGAGCCGCCGAAGTCCCGATGCTAGGCGAGCCGCCGAGTTCGAGGTTCCATCAAGAATGCTCCACTCGCATTCTTTGGTCACAACTGGGGCGGCTAAGCACCTGACTCATCCCCTACTGTATTCTGATAGTTTACTTGTCATGTATCGTTGATCGTTATATTATCTGGAGTATGGAGGATTTCATGTATTTAAGGAGGAGTTAGAATGTTAATAGAAATACAAGTTTACACCTAGTCTCAAGCTCTACACACATGGAGGGCAAGACTGAACACCTGTACGCGGTGTCCTCTACGAACCTGGGAGTGAAATATTCTCCCAGAGCCAAGTTCAGTCAAATTTCGCAATATCAAAGAAGTTGGCCCACGAGGCAAAAATTCAAATTACTCCACCATGTCAATCATTCACTCCCAAAGAGTCCGATTCTCAACTAAGCTTCATCAAGTCTACAAGTACGACCTAGTACATCCTCATCCCAATGACCACACCTCTCGTCGACTTTCTCTGGCCTCAGCCGGTCACCAAATACACGCCCACGCCGATATTTATACCCGACGGAGGAAGCAAAGCGTGGAGCACAAATCTGGGAGATAGATCTTTGGGATGGACGTGAGAGGAATCAGGACAAGTTCACAAGATGATGCAGAAGAGGGATACGTTTTCGACGGGCGTGGAATTTTGAATTTTGGCAAGAGTTTTACAAATTGAGCTTTGTGCGCGCCAAGACTTCGCTTGCGAGAGTGCAGCTGACACTATAAAAATAAGCAAACGATGGAAGGTGTTGTGGTCCGCCTCCTGGTGATGTTCTCTGGTATGGTTTGAGTAGCCTGGGCACCTACTCCACTTGGGAAGGAGACATCTCAGATTACATTTCGCGCGGAGAAAAGTTGATGGATGACGGGGGCATGTCTGGATAACTCAGGGTTTTTGAGACGTTCCCCTGGGTGGGTATTCACGGATGAGGGTTGACTTGGGGTGAAGAAAAAGCCGCCATAACTTCGCAGTGGTACTTGCAAATGAAATCCGAGGCATGAGTGCTCCTCTTGTAAATTGAGTCATCTTTTCTGTACTTTTCTTTGATATTGTGTCATAGCTAGATAGCTGCATACGCAATTAAAATCTGATGCAAAAAAAAAAAAAAGCTCTACACACATAGAGATTGTCGCAGTCGGAGCCACGAGACATCCGTGAATTTCAAAGTCAACATTTGTCATTTTATTCTTACTAACGTGCACAAGAAACCTCAATATCACCGGGTAGGAGTTATGATATGGGGGTAGCCCCAGTAAGTAAATAGTCTACAACAGGTAATTAAGATACAAGAACGTCGTATGCCCAATCCCGTCAGCAGTAAAGCGACTAGTTATACTTTTGGTAAAGGTGAACTGGAGCTTCCTCCCAACTCATACGACAGCTCAGCGTTACATGAGATAAACCCTGGACTCAACCAACGTGGTAACCAACTCATTACTTGGCCCACCAACAAATATGCTCTACGGAAGACGAGGCCTGAAAACCTGGGAGTGAAATATTCTCCTAGAACCGAGATTCAGTCGCGGAAAAGGGTAAGATGAAATTTATTTGATGAATTTTCGACTTGAAGGAGTTGCACTCGATATTTTGGTCGAAAAATTAGTCGGCAGAGATTTCACAGCCGGAACAAAGTCGAACAAAAACTCATCACCACCAACATACGATTCACGAGTGGATTTAGGTCTGTCTCGGAGTTGTATTCAAACACCCGACATCTCTCAAACTCCTTATATATTTGCGACGATCCATATCTCAGCCGATCTCACACCTGCGACCCACCTCTACACTCGTTACGTCACCTAACTACACACGCCCTAATGAGGAAAGTCATGATGGAAACGGGACGTGTGCAAAGGAGGAAGAAAAGGGAAGATACACCGAGGGGATCACACAGATCTCCAATGACGACAACAACTCGACGGTACGATATGAAGGTGCAAGGCTAGAGCAACGATGAGATCTTGGACGGCATTTATATTTCGGAGTCAATGTGGATGTCAAGGGCTCGGGCGCGTGGTGGCCGAGACTGAGGAGGAATTTGCGCTTCGGCGCGTCAAAAGAGGGTTCTCTGGACGGTTGGGCTTGACATGATTCAACATATGGGTCAAGTCTGGGGTGGTCCGGTCATTAAAGTGGGACGAGGTTTATCTGTACTTCACGGTAGTTAACCTGATCCGGCCCAACCCCACACGCGCTTAAGCTCCAGTAGGAGTGCAACGGGAATCACTATACCTAGCACGCTAATGAACAGAACAGAACAAGAACAAATGCTCTACGCTAATACTAGTATTTAGCAGGGGATGATGTTGATCTAGATGTATTCCCTGACAAGTAACACCTTTTCAACTTTGATCTGAGTTATCTCCCCCCCCGTCAAAGATACGCTTCCGTTAACTCATAAGACGACCAAGACGACGCCAATGATGCTGGGAATGATGAGAGATACTGCGTTACCCAACGCTACAACGGTAGTCAGAGAAGCCCTCGTTATATCACAAATGTGCTACCCACCGGCGGGCGAACAAAAAGTCCACAAAAGCAAAGTAAAAGACCCTTCCGCCCTCAAGAAAAGCAGATTTCGACTCGTCTACAATATCGTCCCTTCTAATCTTAACTTCCGAATCTACTAGCCAGGAGGGCATCTGAAATACTTGAATTACTCGACAACTCCATTTACGGACCGACTTTTGGATGCTGGGCTAGGCTCATTCATGGCAGTCACTCTCGACCAAGACTTTTCTGACATCCTTACACGATCTACGATTTTTCCTGCGGAGTGAATCCATTCACGCCTGAAAGGCCGCTATCTTTCCAGCTTCTTTCTGCCTCCCCTTGTCCTTTTCACTTCCGCAAGTTCTTGTCCATTCCGCGATATCTTTACTCTTGACAAAGGCATGCGGAGTTTCACTCCCGTTTGCGTGCAGCTTTATCCTCTTACATGTCGATCGGATTATCTGTTGACCTGGGAGTTTGGCTGATAGTCCGGCGTGCTGGACCCTCTTTTGTTTTAGGTATATCTCTACAGGAAGGACGGACGATTCGAGCTCTAGCACTCTGCTGCTAGTAGAATTGAAGGCACCTGCAACAAGCTTTAAGCATTTTCTTTGAGTAGTTCTGAGGCGTTTCACTATCCTTTCAGGTATCTTTCCTGTTGGCCCGGCCTCGGCTAAAAAAATAATCAATTGATATAATCTAAAAGTACACATCTATTTAAAGGTGATTGCATTGTATTACAAAAGTATACATCGAGGCTCTCAGTATGGCTTGCAAATCAAATGTAAGCATACTCCATGTTTTGTATTAATCTGCTCCGTCCTAATACTTTGTGTACCCTCCATTTGCCTTTATCACCGCTACACATCATTCGTGCATGCTACCGACTAATAACGATAGGTCCTCGGGAGCGATAGAATCCCATGCGGCCTCTAGCAATATTCTTAGCCTAGCAGAGTGCTGACCCCATTTATCTAAAAAGATTTTTTTAAGATGTTCCACAATGTGTCGATCGGGTTCAGGTGCGGAGAGTAAAGTGGCCATCTAATATGCGTTATTCCAGCCTCACGCAGCGCCTCAATCGTTAAGTACGCTTTATGACATGGTGCATTGTCGTGCATGTATAGAATTTCTGGATTTTCCACGTGAAATTGATTCAAAAGAGGCAAAATCCTTTCACAAAAAGATGAGACTCTCATTGATCCCCAGTCCTTCTCCCAGACTAGGAATGGGCCTCTCTGTGACCCATAAAATGATCCCCAAAATATCCCACTTTTCCCATGAGTATGGCGAGCCACAACACAAGTCTCTTCAAACTCATCATCAGGCTAAACTCTGCTATCAGTACAGGGAAGATTTTGCTGAAATTTACATATACTTTTATTGCGACACTAGGATTCACTTGAGAATCACCCAATACCAAGGTTTCATCAGTCCATACTTTTCGACTCCATTGCTCCTCGCTTCAATCTAAATGTATTTGGCTAAACTCCAATCGCTTATGCTTGTTTACTGCACTTAGCGGAGGCTTCTTCCGAGCAATGCATCTACTGTAACCCCTTTTTTTGAGGGCATTAGAAAATAAGTGCTCGCTGCATCCCTAGAGACTGAAGGGCCCTGTCACTAGCTCCAAATAGTACATCTGTTGATTTTCAGGAGATTCTCAGACGAAAGCCTCAAGCTCATCGGCTTGTTCCGTGCTCAGTATTGGCGAGCGCCCTTTGCAAGGTGTAGGATTCTCATCCTCTCGAGCACACGCACGTTGTACTTGCCTTGTTGTAAAGCCAAGTTCGTTGGTTATATTTTGTAATGTCAAGCCAAGTCTTCTTAATGTTCTTATTTCAATAGATTAATCGCGAGTGAGCTGCTTGCGAACTTTGGTTTTTGAAGCAGACTTTTCGAAAGACATCGTTTGCTAGATTGGAGGATGAATTGACAGTAAAGCTAAGAATTCAGGGTTTTGATGGGGCACTATTCTCAGCACCTCTTAGTAGTATCCCCTACGAGCCTCCAGCTCTCACTGTCGAGTCTGCAGAGCCGAGGTTGAGTAGCAAAGTCCTCACTTTGATGAGGTTTCCCAATCGCTTTCCCGGTCTGTGTCATCTTTATCTCTTAACACATTCCCCTATCAACATTATCATGAAGCTAATCATGATCAGATCGGATGGTAGGGTCGGAGCTCTACTCATCACCAACCCTTGATCATGGAGGAGAAGCCATCCGATGAGTTTACGGAGCATACCCAGCACACGATACGGAGATGGTGGATTGGATCAAGATGGAATCTAATGTTACAAAGAAGGTAGATGTAGATGAATATGCAGTCATGATCTTTAGGCCTCGCCTGGCTGGGGCTGCAGGTTAGTTGAGACTTTTCCCCACGCACGCAATTTCCATTGTTACCATTTTATTTTTTTGGGTAGAAGGTTCCGTGGAAAAGGTGGCTGAATTCCACGGGTAAATACTGAGCTGAATGGCTATTCATCAAGGGGAATATATCAATGATCTTTTGAGTAACATGAGAGGCTTGGAGCACTGTACAAGGTGTGGCATGGGCCGAAGAGGAGCCCAATGTGCTAGAAAGTCTAAGACTCAAGTGGTACAATAAAAACATATACACACACAATTTGAGATCAAGTGCAGTCGATACGGAGACCTGGATTTGTTGATGAAGCGAATATGTTATGGCCAGGCATCCTTGAAACCCCTTCAAGGAGAAGGTTCTCAGGAACAGGTGATATGAGAAGTTTTGGGAAAAGATTAACTGAGAAGGTTTCCGAGTAAAGTCTGACAGTTAGAGCTGGAGAGGCTGGCGTCATGCCTACATCTGCTATTGTCTTAGTTGAGTTCAACTACTGTCTCGAGTTAGACTTAAGGAAGCTGAAGCTGCCACATAGTAGCTCTCCAGCTTCTCAATCTTTCATTCTTTCATTCTTTTGATCTTTGATCTCGCAATCTAGCATTTACATAATACTACAATCGTATATTCTCACAGTCCGATATTCGCAGTCTTTCATTATTCGTTACATTATTCGTACTTCTGTTCACCCTGAGTTATCAGCCTTCATCGCCTGCTCGGCCACTCGACTTCTTGACTTCGTGTCTTTCAACTATTCTGTAGTTCTACAACCTTTGACTACCTGGCACCTCGCCAATCGAATCATATCTAAGTATTCTTCGTTAGCAACTGCAATCCTAACAGTTATTAATACCTTACCTTCGGCAGACGGCGATCTCCGGTATCCTTAGCGCACGCCGTAACAGAAAACGACCACCAGAGCTCGCTGTTCCAAGATGGGCGTATCATCCTCTGATAGCGGCTAGGACTGGTCATGGCAATTTTGCCAAGTATCACAAGATGTTTCATCACGAAGGAATAGACCTTGTGTGCAAATGTGGCCGATAAAGACGCGCGTGGCATTTCACTGAATGCCAGACAGCGCTAAATGAATGGCGGAAAGCAACAAAGGAAACAGCAGCAAGTCTATGGACAATGTTGCGAGAAAAGGGACGGATAGCTTTCCATAGATTCCTTACTGTAACAGGATGCTACGGGGTGCAAATTAGGACTTGAATGACCGAGGTTTTTTGGGATACATATAGTACAGGAAACTGCTATGAGACAGCTGGCTGGGCGCAGGGCGTTAAGTCAGGACAGCAAAAGTTTTTGGTGAAATCTTTGTCTTTAGCCTGACACATTAAATTATTCAATTCAATTAAGATCAAGTTTTTGTGTGGAGTGACGTGGTGTATGCCAAACAGAGGTTTACAGGAACGAAAATAATGAGAAGTCGTGGATACTGTACATGCTTGTGTTTGCTCTCGTCTTCAATTCTGTACCAATTATTCTTGGCTATCCCGCTTCTGCATAGCATACTAAGATTTCGCGCCGACACGAGTGGTATGTAAACAATTCGAATCCGTCGGCAAATTGAGAAAATATGATTGGCTCAAAAAGGGAATTCTGTGGTGCAACCGTGCCCCTTGAAGGAAAGGTAGGAAATAGTAAGACTGCAAATGGACCGATAAGGTGGTTTTAGGAGGGCAAAACTGGATACCTGTACGGGGTGTTCACTACGAACCTGGGAGTGAAATATTCTCCCGTAGCCAAGTTCAGTCAAATTTCGCAATATCAAAGAAGTTGGTCCACGAGGTGTTAATTCAAAATACTCCACCACGTCGTTTTTTCGCTCCCAACGGATTCGACTCCTACCTAAGTCTCATCAAGTCTACAAGTACATCCTCATCCCAATGACCACGCCTCTCCTCGACTTTCTCTGGCCTCAGATCGTCACTAAATACACGCCAGCGCCGATTTTTACACCTGATGAAGGAAGCAAAGATTGGCGCACAAATTTGGGAGACAGTTCTTTGGGATGGACGTGAGAGGGATCTGGACAAGTTCACCAAATGATGCATAGGAAGTGTATAACCTCAAAGGGCATGAAATTCTGTATTTTGGCAGAAGCTTCACGAATTGGACTTTGTACGCGCCAAGAATTTGCTTGCAACAGTGCAGCTGACACGACAAACACAAGTCAACAATGGAATTTGTTGTGGTCCGCCTCCTGGTACTGTTCTCCAGTGTAGTCTGAATAGCTTAGGCACCTATTCCGCTTGGGAAGGAGACGCCTCAGACCATCCTTCGTGCGTAAAAACATCAATGTCGACGAATGTATGTCTAGATAACTCGGGGTTTTTGAGACGTTTCCCTGAGTGGGTATTCACGGATGAGGCTTGACATGGGGTGAAGAAAAAGCCGCCATAACTTCACAGTGGTACTTGCAAATGAAATCCGAGGCATGAGTGCTCTTCTTGTATATTGAATCGTCTTTTCTGTACCTTTCCTCCGATATTGTGACATAGCTAGATAGCTGCATACGCAAATAAAATCTGATGCAAAAAAAAGGTGGTTTTACTGAGTGGTTTCATCACATGTATGTATACTGTTAGGGTTCGCAACTACCTGCATAGACCCAAAGGGTAGCAAATGCAATCAAATCTTATCAAAAACCAAGAAATACTAACAAATTCGCTTGCAGCAAAATAGATGACATTGTACGATTATAAGGCATGGCATAGGAACCTGGCCGCACCGAAACATATCAACTGTCAAGGACCTAGTTCATCGGTGCTACTCGAAGACCCAAAGCCTAACGTCCAAACGGCGGCATCTGCGAACGCCTCTTCACCCTTTCCATCGTACATATATCTGGTATCATTCTTTTCTTCTTTGATTTCGTCATCTTCATTTCTTACATCGGTAGAAGTTGGAAGAACTTTCTGGGCTACTGCTCTGTCAACTGCTTTCATACCTGACATCCATGCAATCATGCTTCTAGGAACCCACTTGCCCACAAACCCATAAATAGTACTCCCGGATCCGACCTTTACAACGCCCCCATGTTGGCTATACATGGCATTAACAACTGCCTTGTTAAGCACCCGTAGATTGCTCTCAAAGCTCCATTTGGCTGTTGTAGAGACCGCATAATTTCGACCATAGCTATTGCGGATTTCTTCATCCCATCTCAAAGTCTCTGCGCGTTGTGATTGGATCGTTAGTTGCCGATTATGTGGGAAGAACGCTGATAAATCGAATGTGCCTAATTGAAGGTGCATCACTGGAATGTTTAGCGGAGCTACCTCTTGTTCTAGTACGCTCGCGAAGGAGGAAAGGGCAGACATGATGCAAGCCTCTGGTAGGTGAAAGGCTGGATTGATTGACGATATGATTACAGGCATCAGTAAAAGAATAGACGGTTTCATGTTTGGTAACAGATCGGCGGATAACTTTGAGCCAGCGCATGGTAGATTTTGCAGCAGAGGAAGAAAGTATTGAATTGTGATGATTGGTTGAAGGAGGCGTGTATTTAATAAATCAGTTAGATTGCTAAGAGTTAGTGTGGCAATCGGTATGGTTGGAAAGTTCGTAGGAGGAACTACTATCAAGGAGCGCATGGTAAGATGGTGTGTTTTTGCGCCAGGGAAAGATGTATGTGGTGAGAGAAGGTGGGTAGCGAAGCGTTCAATGGATGTTTTGGCACCCAAAGGCTGAGAATTTTCAGTTAAGATTTGGAGGGTAGGTGAGTGGATTATCTCACATTCTTAATGTCTAGAAGAAGAGGCTTTATGTCGGGTCGTGATTCTTTCTGTAAAAGTCTCTCTTCGTCGATAGTCGAGCTAAACAAAAGTCAGCATGAGTAGAAGTACGGCTCATTTCATATAAGACTCACCATACGATGTATACAATATAGCCTCTGCGCTCCAAGTCCATCGATATAGTCCTTGTGAGTGGTTCTCCTGGCTGACCAGCTATCACGACCACTTCTAATCTTGATCCATCCCTAGCACGCTTTGCTCTTCTCTTCTTGTGCTGAAACTTTCGCCGAATAATGTAAGTTGTGAGACCTCCAAGCGTTAAAATAGCAACACCAGTAAGAATTCTGTTCCTCCAAATCCAGTTGTATAGGCACAAGTAGGATGAGCTGGAATTTTCAGGGATGGGAAACTCTTTGGGCTTGGGTGGTAATTTGGGTTTCAAAAACTTCGGACACCACGGGGTAGACAATAATATTCCCCTAAGGGTATCAGAAGCCTTTCCAAGATGGTCATCGAAAGTATCAGCGACTTTGGATGACTGTTGCACGAAACCACCAAATGCAGATGAAAACTAGATAATTTAACAATTATTTGTTGAAATTTTCTGGAGTTTCAAGTGTTACTCACGATGCCGCGCAAGTTATAGTCTTCAGCAGACATGATGTATGAACATGTGCTGCAGTGAGTTTCGGGTCACTAGATTTCACTGTCTGAGATGGATGAGAGGCGATGTACTTGCATTATATTTGGGTCGCGCTTGCAAGCAAAAGACGTTTCTATAGAACGCGACGAATTACTGAGGGTGTGGCCTAAATGACCAAGCTTTCGACCCGAGCCGCATTCACCGCTCTTGGCTTTACATCATGTACAACCCCGGACACATATTGCATTAGTCTCACAAATCTACAGCAGCAATGACTGTCACAATGAATTTGATTAATGCTATTGGTCTTTGGTACCATTTGATGCATGCCAATCAATTACTTTGTAAAAATACACTGGTGTCTAATTCTTTAGAATGATTGCTGATGAACCCGTTTCGATGTGAACCCCGCCATCCTGTGTTACGGCGTGCGCTAAGGATACCGGAGATCGCCGTCTGCCGAAGGTCAGATATTAGTAACTGTTAGGATTGCAGTTGCTAACGAAGGATACTCAGATATGATTCGATTGGCGAGGTGCCAGGTAGTCAAAGGTTGTAGAACTACAGAATAGTTGAAAGACACGAAGTCAAGAAGTCGAGTGGCCGAGCAGGCGATGAAGGCTGATAACCCAGGGTGAACAGAAGTACGAAGAATGTAACGAATAACGAAAGACTGAGAATATCGGACTGTGAGAATATACGATTATAGTATTATGTAAATGCTAGATTGTGAGATCAAAGATCAAAAGAATGAAAGATTGAGAAGCTGGAGAGCTACTATGTGGCAGCTTCAGCTTCCTTAAGTCTAACTCGAGACAGTAGTTGAACTCAACTAAGACAATAGCAGATGTAGGCATGACGCCAGCCTCTCCAGCTCTAACTGTCAGACTTTACTCGGAAACCTTCTCAAAACCCTCTCCTATCACCTTTTCCTGAGAACCTTCTCCTTGAAGCCTCTTCAAGGATGTCTGGCCATAACATCCTGTCTGTTTCATGGCCATCGATTTCTCGAGATTTCTTTCAGGACTGCACAACCACATACCATTCAGCGTGAATCCAGTCCTGGATCTTATATATTTGTCCTGTACATCCTCTCGTTGTTACCTGGGCTTTATTTTTAATTTTAACGCTAAGAAGGCACACTCGATAACTCCGGCCTCTAAATCCTCTAGAGAACGTTTGCCTTGCCTACACGGCCCATCATCTTCAGCATCTCTATTGTCAAATGACCTCTAGTTCAATCTCTACGGACAACGTAGTTTCTTGTCGCTACTTGCTGCCAACTAGCCTACAACTTTTGCGCCTCTAATAATTACGCAATTTTTACCCACTATACGTTGCCTGGACTTATCATACGTTCGAATACCTTGTATATAGCTAGGCACATAACCTCCTGTTTCCCACAGTCCAAACGGCAAGCTTATATTTCAGACTGTTTGAAACAGATACTCAGGTTGGCATCAGGGGCTATCAACTTCGAGGGCATCGTTTGTGTGTAACAAAGTAATAAAGCCAGTGTTCTGAACTACTATGTAAATAAGGACACATCCCTAGAAACCTGAATTAGGGCCTGACCCTCAGGATTAAGCAGCATAAAGTCTTAATTTCATATTGGAAATTTCACCTATTTGATTTGATTTTATTTAGCCAATGCAGGTACATCTAGCTATAATATTTACAAGGGAGGAAACCAACTCGGTAAAAACATCAAGTCCGAGGGAGCTGTCTGCCACCGACCAGCTGTACACCAACACATGTTACGGGGCGAGAGAGTATACAAGATAGAAGTCACGGGACAAGATATAAATAAGATACGTAAGATGGAACGTAGACAAGATAGGATGCGAACAAGATATGGAAATCTAACAAAACGTCGCACGCCCTCTAAAGACGTGAACAAGGACTACTTAAGGGTCTCCTCGGACTAGCTCGACGCTAGTGTCAATAATAACACCAGTCCTCTCTATTCCTGTACAATTGTGTTACTATGACAACTAGACCCCCCACCGCTCCTTAGGCATGCTTTCATCCTTTTATGGAGAGTCATGATATGAACCATGACAGTAGCTCCCCCTTCTTCGACTGTTGTCTCAACAGTTACCCTAAATTTGCATCTGCAATGGCTTCGGCGTATTCTTTTTCCGTAGGACTGATTCCCCGAGGATTTGATTTGTGGAAAGCTTGGACTAGGTTATTGGAATCCCCTGAAACAATATCATATAACGATTGCCATAAAGTTTCGTATTGCCTCGTGTATTTCACTCGATATTGAAATCCTTTTTGTTTTAGGCGCCTAGATCCTACAATAGCGTCAACTTTGTATAAGTCTTCTCCAGATTTATCGACTTTAATAGGCGGATTGGGCTCGTTTACTTGTCCTGAAATAGGGTTGTTTGGATCTGGTCTTAGAAGACTCGTGTGAAAGATTGGGTGAATTGATCTCAAGTCATCAGGTAAGTGCAACTGATAACTATAACTTCTTATTTTTTTGAGATTGCAAATGGTCCTAAAATTTTCCAATCTAACTTTTTGCATGGTGTTTTGGTCTTTATATTTTGAGCACTAACAAATGCCTCATCCCCAACCTGATAACCCGGAGCTGAAGAGCGGTGACGATTTGCAAATTTTTCGTAGAAGGCCTGGGAAGCTCTCATATTTACTCGTAGAAAATCGTTTAGTTGATTCATCTGATCAATAAACTTGTTTCCTAAATTTACTTGAATTTTTGAGTATTCTGACGCGCTAGAACTTGACTGGTGATATGGAGTTATTGCTGACCTGGGGTGCTGAGCTGAATTAGCGAAAAATGGGGTTACCTTAGTAGTCTCTGATTCGGTGTTATTTGCATTGTACTCTGCAGATGGGAGCCAATCAACCCAGTCATCCTGTTGGTAGTTGCAATATGCTCGTAAGCAGCATTCTAGAATGGCATTAATTCGTTCTCTTTGGTCATCAGTTTCCGGGTGCCATGCAGTTGAAAAAAGAAGTTTCGTTTTTGTACGCTCACAAACCGCGTGCCAAAACTTTGCTACAAACTGCGGGCCTCTATCTGATATAATTGATTCCGGAAACCCATGGTGTTTCCAGATATGCTGATAAAATAAATTTGCTGTACCCATTGCATCAATATTTGTATTACAAGGGATGAATTGGCGTGCCTTCGTGAGTCGACAGCCTACAACCATGATACAATCATAACCTTCCGACTCAGGTAAGGGTCCAATAAAATCCACAGATATATCCCGCCAGCGCCGTTCGGGTACAGGAAGCGGTTTCAGCAGTCCTTGGTATTTAAGTCTTGATGGGTTTATTCGCTTGCAGATATGACAATTATTTGTGTATTGAGAGATGATTTGAAGCATGTTGGGCCACCAGTAATATCTAGAAATTTCTGCAAAAACCTTATTTCTACCATGATGACCCCCACTAGGATGATCGTGACAACTCCTTATTATAAGGGGTTTAAGGTCTGGAATATCTGGAATGTAAATCAAATTATCATAATACAGCCGCTTATTCTTGATACTAGTCCTTCATAGTCATAGACTCAGTAGGGACATAAATTCTATTCTATTCTTGATACTACATCGGGAGAGGTCAAGGTGTTTAGACCGGTTAGGGCCTGGGCCTTGCAGGATCTGGATATATCTCTGGAGAGATTTATCTACTTTGTACCCGTCCGTAATGAGACTTTCAATTTGTTCGGAAATAGTGAGTGATTGAATAGGAGTTTGAAGTGAAATTCGAGAGAGCTCAAGATTATTTTTGAGGTTGTGGACTATTATGGGATCAAGGGTATGAGGCTTGAGCACAATCTGGAGTTGTTGAGAGAGACGCTCATCCTCCTTATCTGACGGGCGGTCCTCAGATCGCCTGTTTAGTGCATCCGGTTTACCTCCTAGTTTACCAGGTCGATAGGTAATAACGAAGTTGAACCTGGATAGAAATTCTGACCATCGGGCTTGATGTCTATTAAGTGTTTTTGTGGACATAAAATACTCCAAATTTTTGTGATCAGAGATAACTACAACGGGATGTATGTGCTTTGAAGCTCTGGGCGCCAATGTTCAAAAGCGGTGACTACTGCTAGCAGTTCCTTGTCGTATATTTCATAGTTAATTTGGGATGGCTGTAAGCGACCTGAGAAGAAAGCTACAGGATGAAGAATTTTCTCATCGTCGTACTGGGACAAGATACCACCGTGAGCCCAGTCGCTTGAGTCGACTTCAATGATGCACTGGCGATCAGGATCAAAGTGTCTAAGAATAGATGACTTGGTGAAAGCGCCCTTTAAAGAAACAAATGCTTTCTCGCATTCTGTGGACCACTGCCATAATGTACTTTTTTTGGTTAATTCAGTTAGTGGAAGTGCTACACGAGAGAATTCCTTGATGAAACGGCGATAAAAGTTAGCGAACCCGAGGAAAGCCTGAGCATCTTTGACACATGATGGGGTCTTCCAGAGTTTGATACACTCAATTTTGACTGGGTCCATTTCAATACCTCGACGGGAGATAATTAGTCCTAGATATTTTACCTCTGTGGCTTCAAATTTGCATTTTTTGATATCCAATTGAAGCCCTGCAGTTCGAAGCTTGTCAAGAACCAAGTTAACGTGGCTTCGATGTTCCTCTAGCGTGTTACTGTATATTAGGACATCGTCCAAATATGCTGTACAGAACAGGTCAAGATGTTCCTGGAGCGTGCTATTAATATTATTAAAGATTTAATCTGTCCATAACCCTGAGCTTGATGATGGCCAGCAAGACGAAGAATATTATGACCTGTCATTTAAGATAAAAGGGCGAAAAGGGCATTAATTAGAAGATAGGACCGATATAGTAAGGGGTGATAAGCCCAGAGTAGGTATGGGCATTACGAATGTAGTCGGAAGCATCATCATGTTAAAGAGGAGTCAAGTGCCCGATATATATATACATGTGTCCTATCCCTGTCACTAATTACCAGACCCCGCACTGCCATAAACACCATCAATCTCTGCTATCCATCGCAATCC